ACCTTCCCAGGCACCAAGGTCAGACTGACTGGCCTGTAGTTTCCTGGATAAATTCATTGCATTAAGGTCCCTAGGCATTCCAGTTATTATACGAGCTGAAGAGGTTCCTAGATAGTTCCTAAGAATGGCCATCTCAGATCTTGTCTCCAGCAGCAGCCAGCTGTGGATGCCATGGCAAGAACAGAGGACAAGAAGAGAACAAATCAATAAAAGCCTAATTTTTCATAAAACAAACCATATTACAGTTCCTTTGCAAAGAATAAAAGATTCAAAGAAATGAAGCTGCAGAATGTTTGGCTGCACAGCCATTCACAGTATAGGAATGAAAGAGCTCACTTTTTCATTAGCCTTCTCAGCTCTGAAAACTGGAGTACTACTGGATTCCCAGTTTGGTGGAGATTACTAATTCTGAGATTGACTTTGTAGGCAGTGGATACAGGATGTATTTCTCCTAACTGGAAAAAAAAGTTGAAATCAAAGCATGGTATTTTGGTCAAGTTCTTGATAAAAAGAGAGCAGGTAAGAATGCTACATAGCAGGGGCATTTAGTAAAGCTGTCAGTGTTTACAAACAGTAGTATTTTAATCCTTCTTGTGTGTAGTTACTGTTAAAATTTCCTAATATTTGGATAATCAGCTTGAAAAGCTAGCCAATGGCAGCATTTTGTTTGTTTCATATTCACACTCAGTCCCAAATATTGTAGAGCATCTTGTCTAAGTGTTAAGCCTTCAGTCTGTGCTGTACTTACAATATTTAGTCTCTGATGCAGACATTGCAGAAGAAGGGAATATAAACTCTCAATGTATTGTTTAAAAAGACACAAATGAAGTTCAAATTACAGAGAATACAGATAAGTAGTTCTTCATATTTCCAATGCATTGTAATGTAAGAAGGACAGGACTCAATTTGATGGTACAAACTTCAGACTGCATTAATTATTCTTAAATAAAATCACTTACGTGTCTTTTTCAAATACACTATGACAGTAAATGGCTAGTTAGCAGTGACACAAATTAAACCACTTTAATTATCCATGAACAAAAATGTAACTTGCATTAGTTACAGATTTCAATTTAACCGTGTATTAAAAGAGGTGATATTCTGACAATGCAAACACAGTGTTTGGTTTTATGGCTTCCTTATGTTTGCACCTATGTACAAAATCTTTGTCCTGTGTAATTTACATCCCAGGTTCAGCCCACCACCATGGAAACCAGGATATCACCTTCTCTTAGCCATAAAGTCCTCCTCTTTACCATGCTCTAGTCTGGTGCAGCCTGGACCTGATTTAAACTGATTTAACTATGGAGTATTTTGCTGGGCTAGAGAGTTAAATCAGCTCAGGAAAGAGTCTCACATACACCAAAACAGGACAGTGAAAGGAGGACTGGCTCTCTGTTATGGATGGAGCCTGGGCAGAGTAGCTGGCTAATTTAGCTGTTAAAGTCAAATATCCACAGTCAGGTCTTATGAACTCCTCTCAGTTTATCTCTACAGCTATTTCTGTCAAGGTTATACTTCTTGCTGGTTGCAGCTTAGAACTGGAATCACATGGCATGCTTCAGTGAGCTGAATTCCACACAGACATGTGGATGACCTGATAAAGTTGCATTCAGAGGACTGGAGAGGGTCTTGCTCTTCTGTTCACATGAAAGGAGACACTGCCTCTATTCTATTCATCTTATCACCACATGACCCTGAATTTTTAGTTAACAGAACAACAGAGTACTAAAATAGACTATTTCAATCATTATGCACACAATTATCAAAGTATATCTAACTGCTCTGTAATGTAGCTAAGTTGCTGAGGAACTATCACCACTTGACTGTTACACCTTTCTTTTTGTATTAAATCCTGAAAGGTGATATTCAGACTTCTTTTGAATGGCAGCTGTAGTCAGTGCAACTAAGACCTTAAAACCCCCCCTAAGTTTTTTAAGCAGAAATTAAGCTGAAATGAATAAATTTTCAGTGAAAACTCTACTCAGATTTGCTTATAACATTGACAATGGTATTTGATAGCATATGTATGGTTTTAAAATAGACTAAAGAAAGTATTTTTAGAAGTTTAATATTCAAAGAAGATATTTTCTTCAATTTACAACCTCCTTGTACAGAGAACAAACTCTCTTTCTGAGAGCATAAGTACTCAGCTGCCTCATTCTTGACTATCAGTTTGTCCTGGGTAATCCAAGTGGGTATTCTTGAAAGTAAACAGTATAATTTACATAAAGCAATGAATGTCACTAAACTCATTACAGTTCTTACTAGTCTGGCCTCAATTCAACAGACAAACACAGATTTATCAGGTTTCGTATTTCCTTCAAAAGCAACATACAATATACTTTGTATAATCATAGGAGCAAAGCAGCCAATTAAATTCAAATTCCACAAAACTTAATCTAAAATCTCTATTGGTTTAGCACAGTTGATAACAGAATTGGTTTGCATTCTTACTATTCCAGTTACCAAAGTTCAAAAAGATTGCCACGAAGCATTATATTTTCCTGCTGCCAGCAAAATGACTGCAAAACCAGAAATGCCATAAAAACCTGGTAATGCAAGGATTCTACAAGACAGAGATAATTACTCTGTGAATCCCTATGGCCCTCAAATTCACAGTCATAAAGCAACATATCTCACTCTGGGAATCACACAGGCACAATTAGAAAATCAAATCCTGAACTGCTTGTAAGTGAGTTTTAGAAAAAGGCAAACTTTCTCTGCTTAGACTTCTGAATAATGAATTGTATTTTCAAATAAGTAAAACTACTTTTTGGAAAATAATTCTCCTGGTTCACACAGGTCTCTAGAAAAACCTGACAGATAATTTTTTACTTGCAACCCCGACACTGACCTCTCATACTTAGTTTTCACAGTCATTCATATACGTTTGGGGAGAGTAGCTTTCCTTTGTATTTCTCTGATAATTTGTGATCAGCAAAAAACAACTACTAAAACCACAAATCACAGAGAAGGGCTACATGATTATTTTTAAACAGGTCAAGATTGAGTTTTGGTTTAATGTCCTGGTTTTGGCAGAGGTAGAGTTAATGTTCTTAGCTGGTATGGGTTTGGATTTGTGCTCAAAACAAAGTTGATAACTCAGGGGTGTTTTCACAATTTCTGAGCAGAGCTTACACAGAGTCAAGGCCTTTTCTGCCCCTCACCCCACCATCCCTGAGGAGGCTGGAGGGGCACAAGAAGTTGGGAGGGGACACAGCCACAACAGCTGATCCCTACTGACCCAAGGAATGTTCCAGACCGTATGGCATTATGCTCATCACATAAAGCTGGGGGAACAAGGAACAGAGGGATGTTGGGAGTGATGGCATTTGTCTTCCCAAGTCACTGTTACGTGTGCTGGAGGCCTGCTTTCCTGGGGATGGCTGAGCACCTGTCTGCCCATGGGAAATGGTGAATGAATTCCTTGTTTTGCTTTGCTTTTATGCGTGGCTCTTGCTTTACCTACTAAACTATCTTTGTTTCAGCCCAGGAGCTTTCTCACTGTTACTCTTCTGATTCTCCCCCTCGCCCTGGGGAGGAGTGATTGAGTGGCTGTGTGGGGCTTTGTTGCCAGCTGGGGTTGAACCGTGACACTTCATTAAGAAGAACCCAAAGATAACCATTATTTACCACAATACAGAGGCTCCTTTCCAGTTCTATGTACTTTAATTACCAGCAGGACAAAAAGGTACATCACTGAGTTTTGAAGTAAAAAAAAAAAACCAAAAAACAAAAAACAAACTACCTGGCCCATTGTACAACTAAAGGTGATAAACTTCATTTTGCCAAGACTTTTAGCTACTGATAGACCTAGTTCTGTGTTTGTGAAGTTGTAAACCCAGTGAGGATTTTTATTTTTTGTACTGAACATCACAGATCGGTATCTTTCCAACACATTCCTCTCCGAGTACAAAGTCCATTAAATCAGTGATTGTCACTTTGTTAGTGTTTTTTTCCCCAATCCAGTGTTGCACATGTGTAAGCTGAAACAGGTGACTGGCACATGAGAGCCTGGGCAGATTTTTTAAGTATGGCAAGGTGGGTGGGTAGGGGGTCAGAAGCGGTTTCAAGCACTTCATTAACATAAGTTGTTAACACCGACGCACTGCAGGATTTGCACGCATTGTGGGTTTTTTTCACAAGCTGCAATCCCTGAAAGGGACACTGGAAAAGGATGGGAATGTCCCATCTCTTGAGCAGCGGTACCACAAATCCCAGCTGCTCATCACGCCGTCCCCCCCCGGCAGGGCCGGCACAGGGGAGCTGTCCCTGTGTCCCCGCACACCAGCGGGCCCCTGATGGATAAACAACAGCCCTGAGGGTGGGCTGAGGAGTGCCAACAAGCTCCCGGGAGGACGGTCGCCCTGATGAGCGCTGGGAATCAGGGAGACCTGCCAAGCACCCAGCTTGCTTTATCCTGCACCAGCACCGAGCGTCCCCACGGACGAGGCTGCGGGGAGGCTCGGCTGAAGCCAGCCAGTCTCTGTCATGGCCGTGTGAGGGCACTGGACACGCGGCAGGGGAGCGGAGAGCCAAGGCCAATGGCACAGGGACACTTGTGCCGGGGGACCCCGAGCACCGGGGAGAGGGAGGGTCCTGTCATAGCGTTCCCGCAAGGGGGCGCCGCGAGGCTCCAACGGCGCGAACTACAGCTCCCGGCATGCAACGCGGAGGAAAGGCGCATGCGCATACTCAAGGCTGCCGGCGGAACCCGCCAGCGCCGCCCCTCCGCTGCCGGCCCCGCTGGTTACGGCCGTAACCATGACCCTTCGCTCCTCTTTCGCACCCGGGGGTGCCGCCGCGACCGGAAGTTCCCGTTGCCATAGCACCCATCTCCCCGGCGAACGTCCCGCGTGTCCCCGGAAGCGGTTCCCTGTGGACACGGCGCCCGTCGCTCCCGGCAGCCGCGCCCCACGTGGCCCCGCCGCTCGGCGCAGCGGCCCATTCATTGCGGCCCGGGCCACGCCCCCCCACGCGCGCCATTGGCCCAGCGCCGCCCCGCCCGGCCAATGGGCGCCGGCCACGCTCCGACCGCAGGAAACCGCACATGGAAAGCCGCGATTGGCGGTGGCGACCGCAGGCCCCGCCTTTCCAGGATCCCCATTGGCTGTGTATTTGGCGTGGTGCGCAGCCATTGGTGGGCGCAGCGCGGCGCCCCCCGCCCGGGGGTTGATAAGGCGAAGGGGGAGGGCCGCGGCCGCTCCAGCGCCATCGGCGGCGGCAGCAGCGCGGGTCGGGCTCGGAGCGGTGCCGGGAGCTCTTCGCTCGTCACCGCGGCCTCTTCGCTTGTCACCGCGGCCGCCATGAGGTCCGTGTGGGGGCTCGCTCTGGCGTGCGCGCTGCTCCTGGCCGGTGAGTGCCCGCGGGCTTCTAGAAGGTTCTGACGGGTTGGAGGGGGGGCGGGTGTCGGGGTCCCGGCCAGCAGGGCCCTTTTCCCCCTCGCGCTGGGGTGAGGGGGACGGAGGCCGCTGAGGGAAGGGGAGACCCCGCGTTCTGCCCTGCGGGGACGGGAAGTGTGCCGAGCCCTTGCCCGGGCCGGGCTGTCCCCAGGGCTGGGGCGGCGGGGGGAGGGGGCCGGGGCGGCTCATGCGCCGTCACGGGCGGGGGCGGAGGGGAGGGAGCGAGGGGGCGGCCCCTGCCCATCTCCCGTGTCTCCAGCTGGGCTCAACTTTCCGGGGGAGGGAGTGGTGGAACGACGGAGCTGAGCCGAACGCCGTGGGGAGGGGTAAGCGGGGAAGTTGGACGGTGCGGGGGCTCAGAGCATCGGTTTCCTTGTTTTCCCAGTGTCGGTCAGAGCCGAGGAGGTGGATGTAGATGGGACCGTGGAAGATGACTTGGGCAAAAGCAGAGAAGGGTCTCGAACTGATGATGAAGTTGTGCAGAGGTTGGTACGCGGGGCACTCGTGCTCAGTAATGCCTGAGGCCTCAGAAATGGGGAGGGAATGCTGTTCAAAAGAGAGATCTGGGCAGCTGGGGGAAAGAAAATACTTCTGGAAAAGACCCTGAAGTGACCCTGAGGACTTGGGCTCAGGAAAGCTCAACTTGGTTTTGTCCAATATCGATAAGCTATATAAAAAACAGTATGTTCATGGAGTTCAGTCTTGCGTGTCATAAATGGCATCGGTGTAGCGCCTGCTAATGAAATAGCTCTGTGCCCATGAACTGCCTCATCTGTGAGGTGCACTGCGTGCTGAGGATTGCAGTGGCTTTAACGTATCTGAATTATTCCCTGGACTTCTTTTTATGAAAATGTCTCACTTGCAGTCATGAATTTTCACTCCAGTTCTAGGTTAAGGTTGTGCAGTTGAGGGTAGCTGCTCTTGCACTTAGGTCATTTCATCATGTAATTTTGGGCTACATCAGTGACAAAGGGTCTTCATGTTGTTTGAACTAGGCTGTTACTGCTGTTGCTTGATGATAAAATTAGTGATGCTGTTTGTGGATGAGACTACTTGACAGGTTTTCGTTGTCCTAACAGAGAGGAAGAAGCTATCCAATTAGATGGCCTAAATGCATCCCAGATCAAAGAAATCAGAGAAAAATCTGAGAAGTTTGCATTTCAAGCAGAAGTGAACAGAATGATGAAGCTAATTATCAATTCTTTATATAAAAATAAAGAGGTTAGTGCCTTTATCAGTAGATCACATTAGAACATGGAGGAGAGTGTGTGTGTCTCTTCTGGAATTCCTGACTACTGGTTTCTATTTCAGATTTTCCTGAGGGAGCTTATTTCAAACGCTTCGGATGCCTTAGATAAGATACGGTTGATATCATTAACTGATGAAAATGCTTTGGCTGGTAATGAGGAACTTACAGTCAAAATCAAGGTAAGATGCATTAGATACAAACATCTCTTTCAGAGGAGTGATGGGAGGAATATAAAAAGATGGTCCATCATTAAATCTAAATTTTTCGGCTTCATACTGATGTAAATACAGACTAGGACCACATCAAGACCCTTGCAATTAGATTTATCAAAGACTACTCTTGTTTTAATGGTGAAAATATATTTCTGATTTTATAAACACTAACTGAAGTATTGTAATATTTGGAAGGGAGGATCTTCCTCATTTCTGTGGTTATTGCAAATTCCATTTATTGTAACCAGGCATATTTGAATGGGTAATACAGTTAGCCATTTTTAGGGGGTGGTGTGTTATGTATTAAGATTCAAAGTGAAGTCAAACTGCATTTTCCTTTATTTTTTTTCAGTGTGATAAAGAGAAGAACATGCTTCATGTTACAGATACGGGTATTGGCATGACAAAGGAGGAATTAGTTAAAAACCTGGGTACCATTGCAAAGTCTGGTACAAGTGAATTCTTAAACAAGATGACTGAAATGCAGGATGATAGCCAGTCAACATCTGAGTTAATTGGCCAGTTTGGTGTTGGCTTTTATTCTGCTTTCTTAGTAGCAGACAGAGTTATTGTCACATCAAAACACAACAATGACACTCAACATATTTGGGAGTCAGATTCAAATGAATTCTCTGTGATTGATGACCCCAGAGGGAACACATTGGGACGTGGCACAACCATAACGTAAGTACTAAGTTTCTTTGGATTTAAAATAAGTTGTGTGGATACAGTTTTCTTATTAAAATGTGCGAGTGACTTCAGCATTGTGACTCATAGTGTTTGATTCTTGTAATACAGCTTTATTGAGTTTAATAGAAACATACAGATTGTAAACTGCATCCAACATAAGAAAACCATGAGCATCCTAAGAACTGTCAGCAAGTAATTCTGGACAGTTCAGCTGCATGCAGGCTCATTCAGTTCCTCAACACAACTGGCAAAACCTACATAGTGGCTGTAGAGCTTTGTCTTGGAAACTGGCTGCTATTTATACACCAGTGAGACTGGCCTGATGCAAATTTCAAACTAGGGGTAGATTGACAGTCCTATTTTCATTGCTTTCATGAGCAGATAAATTTACTTGGTCTGGGTTTAGAGGCTGTTTTCCTGGAGAAAGCACTTAGCATGAAAAAGTTGATCTTGGTGCTCTATTTTCAAGCAAAGCCCGTGAAAGCACATCAAGATCCTGATGAGTACCAATATGATTTAAGGTTTTCCTATAGACTTTTGGATACTGTGTTCTGCCTCAAGTGATGAAAACAATAACCCTTTGTCATTGGAGTAGTTCAGAAGTGATTATATTTTTTAAGGGATTCTTTGAGCTGAACTTATTAAAGCTGACTTGCATGAATCTGAATTGCTATAGCTGCAACAGGAAAATGCATCTTCTTCTATAAAACTACGTCAAAATACTTGTCCGGCACTTAAACTGAAGGATTTTTTTATTTTCTTTAGCCTTGTCTTGAAGGAGGAAGCATCTGATTATCTTGAGCTGGATACTGTGAAAAATCTTGTAAAGAAATACTCACAGTTCATAAACTTCCCCATCTATGTGTGGAGCAGCAAGGTAAGGGAGCATTTAACTGAGCCTTGCACAGTATGAGCTTGGGTTGTGACAGCTGTCAGGCCAGATCTTTCAGGAAGAGTGAGGACATGTCAGAGAGCTGCTACTTGTCTAATTTCCAAAATTCTTCTGTTCCTGACTCTTCTGGCTAGTATTTTATTACTTAGTTTCTCTCCAAAAATTGGTCTGTTGCTAAAATCACAGACTTTAAAGGAACTTGGTTTTATTCTGACTCAAAGAACTTTATCAAAGGAAAAAGACTGCTGATTACTAGGAAGGATTGTTCTTCCACTGGCTTTGTTTGGTAGATGGAAGCTTTTAAGTTTTCAAATGGGCTCATGGTAGGTGTCCTCCTAAAAATAGGGCATTGTCTTAAATGTTAGGCCTGTTCTGATGTTTTCTTGCTGTAGCACCAGTTTAAAATCCACCAAGTTTCTGATTAGCTTTATGAAAAACTTAAATTTGAGGATGGTCATCTCCCAGTTTGTTGAAGGAAAGTGTGTATTCATGAAAATTTAACAAAACAGTATAGAGAAAAGTTTGCAATAGACAAATAGCACAAATCAAACTAGTGCTGTGAGAGATTAAGCTGTTTGAGAGAATACTAGAACATACCTGGTAGGAAGTCAAGGTGTTCAAATCCCCACTTTCAGTTGTCTCTTTAGACAGAGACTGTTGAAGAACCCATTGAAGAGGAGGAAGCAAAGGAGAAAGAAGAAACAGATGATGATGAAGCTGCAGTTGAAGAAGAGGAGGAAGAAAAGAAACCAAAAACTAAGAAGGTAAGCTTTGTTAAACCTGGGGTTCTGGAACTCAGATGGTTCACTGATTTTGCAGAGGTGCATTTCAGTAGTGTGCGCTTTCAAGGACCAATCCCTTTTAAGTGGAGATGTCTTGGCAGGATAGTAGACTGTAAATGAAGCAGACTTGGTTGAGGTCAGGCAGATGACTGACAAGAGCCTTGTGGGGCAGTGGTCACAGAGCTAATTATAAGTATTTGAGTGAACTGCTTGAAATGGTAGCAGGCTTCAGTAAGCTGACACTGACTAGTTTAAGTATACTCTGCTGGGAAGCTTTTTCCAGAGCGGCAGTAGAACAGAAATACTGATACTCAGTGAATGTGTTAAATGTACATAGAACAACATAATACAATGTCGACTAAACATTTGTTCCCACATGTTGCACTAATGCATATACTTGATTGAGAATGTCCAGGCCATTGCACAATTTTGTAAATTAGCATATTTGGTGTTTTTTACATGCTATTTTACGTGTTGGCTTCAGTGGAGTGTCTTTAATTGGCCTAAGCTGAAGTAAAGAATGAGTCTTTTCATACTGTGTGGTGTTTACTTACCTAGGTTGAAAAGACTGTCTGGGATTGGGAGCTAATGAATGACATAAAACCAATCTGGCAGAGACCATCTAAAGAAGTTGAAGAAGATGAATACAAAGCTTTTTACAAAACCTTTTCCAAGGTAAGCTCTGAGCCTCAAGATGATTCCAAAGCAAATGGTTTGCTCTGGTATCTCTTGCTTTGTAAATAAAACTGAACGCTTATAGGATGGGCTGTTTCTGAAGAATTAATTAGTTGCTGTCAGTAGATGGAATTGCAGAGACTGGAAGGTATAACATCTCAGTCTGGAGTTAATCTTTTTTCCAGAGAAAATGTATTGACACCCAAGTGTTGAATGGCCTAGGTTTGGGAAGTAATATGGTCCATCTTATGTGAAGCTTGCTGGTGTGTCTAAATGTTAACAGGAAAACTTATATTTAGTCTGAATGGTGGTGCTTGTTGAACATGGTGGAAGAAAAAGGGAGGTACAGCTTTCTAGAAATGTCTTTGTGTCAGTACAGCATAATGTGTTAACTTGGGAGTCTCTTAACTGTGCTATGATGATATTATATTGGTTATTGTGCTATTGGCTATCTTTTTGTGATTGGCTTGTTGAAAAATAACAAAACTTAGTAGGTCCTTAGGAAGGTTATTTTTGTGAGTAACTAGGCTCTTGTAATTTAAACTCTTGTCTCCATGATAGATTCTAACAAAGCATGGTTAGGTAGATTAGCTGCAAAATAATGGCATTTATTTGGCAAACGAAGGTTATTACTGGAAATATATTAACTCTGACATTTTCCCCATGTCATTTAAAAGCATTTTCTCTCCACAGGAACATGATGACCCGATGGCATACATCCACTTCACTGCTGAAGGGGAAGTAACTTTCAAATCCATCTTGTTTGTACCTAATTCTGCTCCACGTGGACTGTTTGATGAATATGGATCCAAAAAAAGTGATTTCATTAAGGTAGGACAAGCAAGTGTGTGGACATGGTTTCATGTAAAAAATAAGTCACTAAATAAGTAACCTGGCTGCTGTCTTCTCTTTTAATTCAGCTGTACGTTCGAAGAGTCTTCATCACTGATGACTTCCATGACATGATGCCCAAATACCTTAACTTCGTTAAGGGTGTTGTAAGTATTAAATGTCCTACTATCATTTGATTATTTTTTTAATCTTTTAATACTGTCATGTGTACTTAAAATTTGCTTCCCCAATTAGGTGGATTCTGATGATCTTCCTTTGAATGTATCCCGTGAAACACTTCAGCAGCATAAATTGTTAAAGGTAAGCTAATTGATCTTAATTTCTTTCATTGTAAGCACATGATTGTAGCAAGCCTTAGGAGAATAACAGCTTGTTTCGTTTTGTTACATAAGGACAGTGAAATTAAACTACAGGAAATTCACACATCGCTGTTCTCAAAACACCTGTGTCTACTTTAGGTCAGAGACACTAAGTGTTTGGAATCCATTCTTTTTAGTGGGGTTGAATTGAGGGCTCTTCCAAATGCTTATTGTTGTAACTCAATAATGCTGCTTTTTTTAGGTGATCAGAAAGAAACTTGTTCGCAAAACTCTTGATATGATCAAGAAAATTGCAGAGGAAAAATACAATGACACATTCTGGAAAGAGTTTGGTACTAATGTAAAGCTTGGTGTTATTGAGGATCACTCCAATCGTACACGACTGGCTAAACTTCTTCGCTTCCAGTCCTCTCATCATGAGAGTAACCTCACAAGCCTTGATCAGTATGTGGAAAGAATGAAAGAGAAACAAGATAAAATCTACTTCATGGCAGGTGCCAGCAGAAAGGAGGTATGTGAGAGTGAAAGAAAGAAGAAAGGGGTAAAAAATATTACAGCTTCTAGTTTTAGTACTATGAACATTGTGAATTATGTATTTGCTGTAAATTTGGAGCCTCCGTGCTTATGCTGCTACTGCAGTTCAGTTTTTCTTGTACCAACGTTTGTCAAATAGTTGTACAGGTTTCAGTAGCTGCTGATACAAATGCAATTAAACTGGAATCTTATATGTTTTGTCCTCTTAGGCTGAGTCCTCACCGTTTGTTGAACGTCTGCTGAAAAAGGGCTATGAAGTGATCTATCTGACTGAACCTGTAGATGAGTACTGTATTCAGGCTTTGCCAGAGTTTGATGGCAAGAGGTTTCAGAATGTAGCAAAAGAAGGAGTTAAGTTTGAAGAAAGTGAAAAGTCAAAGGAGAGTCGGGAAGCCTTGGAAAAGGAATTCGAACCACTTCTAAACTGGATGAAAGACAAAGCTCTAAAAGACAAGGTAAACTATTCTGTTACATGTAGTGATTATTTTTAAATGCTGTTGTACTTGCTACAATGCACCTTGCAGATTATTTGAGCACGGACTTGACAGTAGCTTCTCTGTCTCTATGGATAAACATGCTTAATACCTTTGTTTCAGAAAGATACTGAGTTAGAATGTGATCTTAGATGTTTTTCACAAAATATTGAAGTGACCGAAATTTCAGAGTTATTTACTGTATTTGCTGTATAAGCTATTATCTCTGAAAATTAAGGCACTTATTTTCCCTACAGATTGAAAAAGCTGTGCTATCTCAGCGTTTAACCCAGTCTCCATGTGCTCTTGTGGCTAGTCAGTATGGATGGTCTGGTAACATGGAAAGAATCATGAAGGCTCAAGCTTACCAAACTGGGAAGGATATATCCACAAAGTAAGCTTTCAGTTATGTAGCAGCAGACATGAAATGCAGTTGATGGCCTCCCTTGCTTGCTGTGCCCATACCAAGCTTCCATCTGGTTCAGATGATCCTTGGTGTTTTTAAGGTCACTTAGAACCAAGGTAGTCTCCAATACAGCCTTACATTTTTTAATTCAAAGCTCAGTATGTAAAACTGCCTGCTGAGCAAGACTCTCAGTGACATTTGCTATCTGTCATTTGTTGACAAGAGAAGATGAACTTAGTAGCTTGAATGTTTTTAGAATTAAGCTAGTATTAAAGTGGGACGGGGGGAATATACTTGTTGCTGTGACTGTCACCAGTGTTCATGGGTTTAAAGATGTAGTTGGGTCCTGTACTTTAAAACTTAGTGATGTGACTTCTCTTTTTCTCAGTTACTATGCTAGCCAAAAGAAGACATTTGAAATTAACCCCAGGCATCCACTGATCAAGGACATGCTCAGGCGAGTCAAGGTAAATAAATAACAGTAGTGAAACACTGACTACTTAGCTGCACACAGCCTAATTAACAGGTCTGTTTTGGTTTTTCATATTCTTCCACACTAGGAAAATGAAGATGACAAAACCGTTTCAGATCTTGCAGTGGTATTGTTTGAAACTGCAACTTTGAGGTCAGGATATATGTTGCCAGACACTAAGGAATATGGAGACCGAATAGAAAGAATGCTTCGTTTGAGTTTAAATATTGACCTGGATGCAAAGGTTAGTTTGTCTTCAACTTGGGGCTGATAATGGACTTTACTATTGCTACATCTAAAAAGTGCAGCTCCTTGATTCACATGCATTCAATTAAATGTATCCAGCTTCCTGCCACGAAAGTGGGCCACCAGAAGCCCAGCCATGAATCTGGACTTCCTACTCATGTTTTCCCTTCCCCACCTCTTCTTTCTAGTTGCTTGAGATTCTCCTACCTCATTACGCTTCTCAAGTGTTGTCCTGTCCCTAGCTAAGTGGTGGTTCTACAGGAGTAAATTAGGGATCAAAGGCATGTGTGCCTATCTCTTTAATAGAGAAATTTCTAAGCGGATATAAGTAATATGGGTTCTCATAATATGCTGTGCAAGAACTTATCCTGGGTATTTTGCTGGAGAAGGCATGACAGTGGGTCAATGCTAAACGGAACTTGCCTTCTCCTTCAGGTAGCTGGGGCAAACGTTAGGATATTTCCATAGCCTGTATTCAGCTAGTCCACAACTAGCAAACATCCTAAACAAGTAAAGCAAATTGCTTGTGACTGTCATACAGGTGGAAGAGGAACCTGAAGAGCCTGAAGATGCAGCTGAGGACGCAGAGCAAGATGAAGAGGAAGTGGATGCCGATGCTGAAGACAGTGAAACACAGAAGGTAGGGGTTTGTTTGACACTTTCTTGCCAATATTTATGTGCAGTTTTGTCTGTGGTGCTTCCTGGAAACAAATTTGTTCACTTTGTTCATGACACTAGATTTTAGTGTGAGGTTTTCCAGGCTTTTCTTGGAGGGGGGTAGAAAAAGGCAGCACAAATTCCATATCAAACTGTATTGTAAGAAGCTGACACTTGGATAAGGTGGATCTAAATTAAGCTTAAGAGATAAAAGCTTTGGATTATCTGTGATATTTCCACAGCTTGCAGACAAAAACAAAGATCAGCAAGAATGTAGTTTTTCAAGTGCTTTTACAATACAGACTTGTAGCAAGACTACAGACAGCAGCATTGCTTCTAAACAGTTCAACTATCATGTGAAGTCAGCCTTCACTTCGTTAAGGGCTGCAGTTTTAATGATGTCTTGATGGATATGCTAAACCCTTCCCATACCTTAGTTTCTTGGGAAAAGACCTGCAAGATGACCTCTTGTGACTAGTGCAAATCTATAGCTTACAGAGATGTAATTTCCTACAGGAGAATGCTTATTGTACTATAGCTACTTAACTTTGATGCAGTATAACCTGTGATTACAGTATCTGTTCTCTGGAACAGCTCTTGTAACCTTTTTCCACTTTCAGAAAGCAATATCCTGATTCTTTCTTTGTCTTGACAGGAATCCACAGATGTGAAAGATGAACTGTAAACTACACTCAACTACTGTCCTGCATTGGGGGGTTAAGAGGGAATGTGAATTAGATTGTTTTGGTTTTTTCCACTGTAAAATGTTGAGGGATGGTATGGGGTTTAAGGGTAAAGGAGGGTTTTTTTAAGTTCACTTTTCTAAAAACATTCCTCATGAATGTAAATTTGTATTATTTAACTGACTTGGTGTAAAATCTTGTCATGTACAAAATAAAATGTTCCCAAACACCACTAACTTTAAATTTATACACGGAAAGCTCACCTTGTGGGCTGGCACAAAGAAATAAAGGGATGGTCCTTTGCACAACTGGGCAGTTGGCAATCCTCGTGCCTTTCCATGCTGGCACAGCCACACCAACTAGTGTAGCATAGGGCTATGGTTGGGTTTTGTGTTTACAAGCCTGCTGTGCTGCTTTGCCAAAAGACGCCTGGTATCTGAGAGCTGTGTTGAACTTGCTAGTTGAAGAAAGTATTCAAGTTATGTATCTGCTGCCATCTTAAAGTTGAGACAAGGCATTTAAAAATGGCATTAGAACTTGGACTGGGCAGTTATAGCTTTACAGCTGAGGGGGGGGAATTCCTTTCACTAAGTATGTGGACAACCCTCATCAGAGGTGGCTTTAGTGCCTGTGAGCTGCTACCATCCTCTGTGGTACTTGGAAACCCTGCCTTTGACTTGTGTAGCTACAGCAGTTTGCTACAGGCTTTTTTTAAAGGTGTGGAAGTTCTTTTCTCATGGTTACTCCTTAATGCTGTTATTCCTAAACTTTATCACTATTGTTCTGTGTCTCTTTAGCATGGCAAAGCACTATAGATACTTAATATAACTCAAGTTAAATCTATTGACACCAAATTTTAATGCAGACAGGTTAAACTGGAGGCACCACTTCTATTCATTACATTAGTTTTATGTAGTGTTTGGATGAAGCACTGCATTTTCTCAGTAGTGCCTCTACTTTAAAACATGTCACAGGGTTGGTAGGAAGTGTTTGCACTGAAGGGTTTGTTTTTTGGGGTTTTTTTGCCTTCCTCTGTGGAAGAACTACATAGGCATGGTACTTCTACATAGTGATTCTCCTTAAGAACCCCTCACTGCTGTTTTCTTAACAGAACTTCTGTGAAGTTACAAGGTTCTGCAATCTGAAGCAAAATAAACTTTCTAATTACGTTAGAGCACTAAACACTGACCTGAAGAACTTGCTTTCCATTTTGTTTTACTAGGCTTCTATATTGCCTGATTACCATTTCCATGCAATAAATATGCCATGTATCACTGTGGTTATGGTGTTAGGGTTTGTGGAGAGATGGTTTTATTGAAGTATGCTGTTTGAGGCCTAAGGAGTGAGACCTTAGTTTGGGGTGTTTTTGAGAGAGTTCAGAGTTGTGGTTTCTGCTCAGTGTAGCAGTATCCTAGAGAAGAGCCTTCTGTTACTGGCACATGCTGAGGGGTCTGACACCAGCATGTCCTTCAGCACCTGGCAGTGTCAGTTGTAATAGCAGCCTTTGGCAGTAAGTTAGTGACTGGGCAGGTGCACCATTTCTGGAGGCTTGTTATTCTTACTGTAGCAGTGTGATTTTTTATTTTTTTTTTTTCTTTCTTGGTGCTGTGTAGCAATCAACTGCTGCTGATGCTTTAATACTTCCAAAGGTATCACTTATTTTCAGTGATACCTTTCTGAGTATATCGTTACTACCCCCACTTTTATATCTCTATTTGACACCAAGCAGGAACTGCGACTCACTCCTGTATGGTTGGGAGTGCTTTTGCAGCCAACAAACCAAAGTGGAATATTGGAAGTGTAGGGTTGCTTGCTACAGTATTCTTAGTCTGTTAATTACTTGTAGACTTAGGCAACCTTTGCTCTGTTGTATAGCTAAGTTCTCATTGCCTTGATGGGTTTGAGGATGACGATTCAATTTGAGAAATAATAAAGAGCACACATGAGAGTCATGCTTTGTGCTTCTTCATCTACTTCAGCTGAGAGTATCATGTGCAACATAGCTGTGGTTCAGCTGCTTTCTCTAGACCCTGGAGTGACAAGTGTTTGCTATTAATAAGCACAAAATGCACTTGTAAGCCTACTTATTTGTCAGCTCTGAGGCAAAATGGTGTCAATGCTGGAAGAAGTGTCTCCCATCAGGCTGTTTCTTTTGGTGCTGCAGTTACACTGACTCTGGGGGTGTCGCTTCTGTTAAAACCTGTAGTGTTGTCAGCTTTGCTGTTCTTAGATGGGCACTAATGAGGACAGTTCCCTCAGTGCTAGAAAAGGCTGAGCTCTGTGTTGCTCAGTTTCCAGCAGCAACAGGAAACACCTAGAAATCTAAGCCTAATTACTAGAAACTTCCCTCTGCAGCCTTTAGATCTTAAAAACCTTTAGAAAAGGGGGAGAAATGCATTTTTCATGTCAGAAATCAACAACATAACAGAGGTGCTACTCTGACAAAGTGTGAGTAACAGGATAAGGGGTTGGTGAATCCTGGCTCTGTAAAGGGATCATTGAAAAACTGCTGTTCCTGCCCCAGTTAGAACAGGAACAAAATACTGCTGAACTGCACCGTCTTCTCTCTTCAACAAACATTTTCTTATGCTGAGGTGGAAGGTTGCTAATCTCAGCTTTGTTAGGTGCAGTAGGGGGAAAAGTATTTTCACCAGAGCTGGACTTACTAAGATGGTCTCACTGATTGATTTCATTTGGATTTAACATGTGTTTTACTACAGCCTTTCTATCAATGCCTGCTGTCATTGATAAAGGAGCCTGAAAGAGAGCCTGTGACGTACTCATGCTCAGTGCAGGCTGCATCCTGAACAGCACATAAGAGCAGGAGAGGATCTCATCCCACCAACAGCTGTAAAACTGTGGGAGAGCAGAGGCACATACACATGCAGAAGAATTACAAACCTTTCTTCCTACGTAAACCGTTCCAACTTATGCAAACATAAATAAAAGCTTCACAGCTGGAACAGATGTAAAAGTAGCACTCCCATTGATCACTTCTGGATCCCTCTGCTATTACAAGACATCCAAGTACTTTGTCAGGAAGAATTAGGGAGCTTTTTTGTTTCCTTAATGCATAATCTATCAGACTGTGGTTTTTACCCCCCCTGAGTTAAACCCGAGTGAGAACTGAGGATGAAGCCTGTGCTTTATCTTGGTATCTTTCTCAAGGGAAAACAATCCCCAACCTTCACAAGCTCTATTGTGTATTGACTCTGTACCTTCCAGTTCCTGGTGCAAGTTTTGTGGTGATCCTATTTCAGGACTGAAAGGTAAACCTGCATCTGTTATTTCAGAGTTTTGTATATTTACAGCTATCAAACCAGCCATAAACAGATGAAGATGCCCAAATGGAGTACAAATGTACGTAATTTCAGTGTAATCTGAATTGCCCCATTTTAACTAAAATGACCAAGCTGTAAGATCCCAGCCTTACAGTGGACCAAAGTAGGTTTCCTGTCAGTGATACATCTTTGTCATGGTTTAACCCTTTATTCTGAAGGATAGTTACACTGCAATCCAGATTTAAGAAGTCACAACTATTTTGGCACACAACCAACTGGACTTTTAGCAACAGTACTCATTGTACGTTTATTTTAAGTGCTGCCTGAAACTGCTTAAAGGAAAGCAAAAAAGCATTAAGGCAGTACAGTATTTCACATACATATTTCTGCAACTTAAACAGTTGAATAAATATTTTATCAGTCCTAGTTTTCACAACAGAAGTAACTTCTGGTCACTGTTGTGAAGTCCGAACTTTGCTTGATCTTTCTTTTAGACCCAACAGTTCTGTTCTCAGTTCTCCAGGCTTAGGAGGTATTTCAGGTATGCTCTATTAAAAACAGAGAAAGACATCAGTGTTGTGGCAGAAGAAACACTAAACTCACAAAACAGTAAAGGATCGCACTCTGTAAGAGCATTATAGCTAAACTGTGATTATACTGCCCTCTTCTTTGAGCAGAGTATAATTCCTATATGCAAAACATCTTAAAAATTATTACCTTTTGTAATTTGACTTTTATTTTAAAATAGCAAAATATAATTGGGAAAACAAAAAAAAGAAGGTAAAAGGAAGAATTAACAGTTTCATTTAAATGAACAAGGCTGCTTTTTTGCCATTAAAGAAGGTAAGCTTGGTAGAGATGTCTAAAACAGTTGAAGTTTCCACATATACTCTTTCTCTTGGTGACAGAAGAAAATGTCTCACTGCCTCTACCTTCCTGATTTAGAAATTAAGCATTGAAGCTGAAGAGGAAATTTAAAAATAAAAAGGTACCAGATGACATGACATTTCAAGAATGAGATACCTCCTCAAAATTCATCCTACTTTAGGGATATAGATCATTTGATCATTCTGAATAAATATGTCTATTTGTCTGTAACGAAGGCTACAGTAGAGACTACTAAAATACATAAATTCTTATGCATCTATCAATGATTTAAGCCTCATTGCTTAAATTTTGATGTGACAGCTCAAGCATGGTAATTTTTTTAAACTTATTTTCCATTTGAAAATAGCACAGTGAATTACAAAAATCAAGAGCAGGAGGGTGAGAGAAAACTTACAAGTCAGGCCTCCAACAGACTAAACCATTAATATTCCTGGTGGGTGGTTTCATTTGAAGTTTATTTCTGTGACTGTAGTTTTGACAGCCTTGCCTGTTGTCATTTCTAAAGTCAACTTTTGATTGTCTTCAAGTACTGAAGGAAACGAAGTCTATTTAAATCTAGCACAGCCCCTTCTCACCACTTCTGAACTCTCTTTTCAAAACCCAGCTTCCTACAGCGGAGACCCCTTTTGAAGGGGGTTACACAGCTTTTATTTTTGGTACCACATTAAGAGTGGAGGTGGCTCCCCAGAGAAGTCACAGAATCCCAGAATTGTTACGGTTGGAAGGGACCTCTGGAGATCATCTAGTCCAACCCCCCTGCCAAGGCAGGGTCACCTGGAGCAGGTGACACAGGAATGCGTCCAAGTGGGTTTGGAACGTCTCCAGAGAGGCAGGCTCCGGTGACCTCCTTGGGCAGCCCGTTCCAGTGCTCTGCCAGCCTCAACGTGAAGTTCTTCCTCATGTTGAAGGAAAACTTCCTGTGCTTTAGTTTCCGGCCATTGCTGCTCATCCTGTCGCTGGGCACCACCGAAAAGAGTCTGGAACCATCCCCTTGGCACCCACCTTTGAGATATTTATATGCACTGATGAGAGCCCCTCTCATCCACACTCTCTACACTAAACAGGCCCAGCTCCCACAGTCTCTCCTTATAAGAGAGATGCTCCAGACCCTTAATGATCTTTGTAGCCTCCACTGGACCCTCTCCAGTAGCTCCCTGTCTTTCTTGTCCTGAGGAGCCCAGACTGGGGCAGAGCACGGTCCCGGCTGCCCGGACGGTGCCCCTGCAGAGGCCGATCTCTGTGCACAGCCAGGCCGGACGCCTCCCGGGGGCAAAGCCTCCATCCCGCACACACGCCACCACCGACCGGGCCCCTGGGAGCACTTACAAGGTCCGGCCGGTAGTACCTGTGCACGACCTCGGCCCCCGCGAACATGGCCAGCATGCTGGCGGCCAGCGCCCGCAGGTACGTGGGCCAGGGCACGCCGGCGGGCATGGCCGGGCCGAGCACTCCGCACACACCGACCGCGCCGGACGTGCGTCATCCCCGCCGCCACCGGCAGCGGGGCAGGGAAAAAGGAAAAGGGAAGAGGGTGCGGAGGCCCGCCCCTCGCGCAGGAGTATCGCGGCAGCGCGCGGTAAGTCGCGACAGAACCCCCCGCACCCCCCGGGGCACGGGGGGATCCCCCCCCACACACACACACCCACACACCCGGCCACGCCCTCCGCGCCCATTGGCCGGCGCGGGTCACGTGGCGCGGGGCCGCCCGGCAGGTCGGTCGGGGGGCCGAGCGGGGGGAGGGGGCGGGGGCCGAGCGGCGACAGTGGCGGCGGTGACAAGGACAGGGACAGCCCCCGCCCGCCATGGAGCCCCAGGAGCTGGGCAGGTACCGCCGCCCGCCCGCGGCCGCGCTCGGGCCTCGCGGGGGGGCCGCCGTGGTCCTGCTCCTCCTGCTCGCCCACGTCCCGCGGGCGGCGGGCCCGCGGCCGGGCTGTGGCGGCGCCTCCCGCCCCTTCCTCGGCACAAAGGGGAGCGGAGAGCGGGGCTCGGAGGGGCCGGGCCCCGGGGGGGGGGGGAACGGGGCGCTGGGCCGCGATCGTGGCTGCGTCCCGAGGGGGAGCTGAAAATCGTTTAATACTTGGGTTTGTTCCGAGTATTATTTAATACTTGTTTTGTGAACAAATCTTCTCTACCCTTCTTTTAATTTTTCTTTCATTTTTAGCATAAACTGAATGGGGGGGGGGGGGCGTAGGGCGAGGGAACTGGAAATATTTATTCCCCGTGGAACTGGAAATATTTATTCAAATGTCCCATGACATTTTGTTATGTTTGTTATACGTCAGTAACAAAGAATTGTATTTCTGAACCCATGCGCAAGAAATGTGGCCTAAAATGTGTAGGAAACTTAGAGGTAGGGGTAAAAGTTCTCTTTCCTCTCATTAGTAAGTGGTTAGAGGACTTGTTTGTGACATGGCGCGAATTTTCTCTCTATTTAAAGGAAGTTTTATTCCCTTTACAAGAAGGATACTTTATATACTCATAAAATAAGGCCTGTATTACAAGAAGGCATCTGGTCTTCGTTTCACATCTTTGTTACTCACTCTGTTCTGCTCTGCATGATTAAGCTTTTATTACTTTATGAGCTGGATTCTGCATGTCTCAGTTGTGTTTCCCAACACAAATCTAAAGATCAGTTTGGTTTGGTTCAGTAGCTGCACAAGTATTTTATATAAAATGGAACTCTTCCTGCAGAGGGGTTAAAGTATTCACAGTACTCTGAAAATCTCCCATGACTTTATTAGGCAACTTCCTCGGGAATCTGACAGACCTACGTTCATATTTATTCTCCTTGATTCAGGACAGGTATTAGGTTCAAAATCAGTGGCTTGATCATAAGAGTGTGGGCTGTTCTGGTATAAATCTGATTTACAGTGGGATTCTTAAAAATTCATTGTGTAGTAGTGAATGGTCCCTTCTTTTGAGATATTTAGAATTACAGAATAATTTATGTTGGATAAGACCTCTAAGATCATTGAGTCCAACCATTAACCCAGCACTGCCAAGCCCACCACTAAACCATGTCCATAAGTGCCACATCTACACGGCTTTTAAATACTTCATGGGTGGTGACTCAACCAGTTCCCTGGGCAGCCTGTTCCAGTGCTTAACAACCCTTTTCATGAAGAAATTTATCCTAATATCCAATGTAAGCCTCCCCTGGCACAACTCGAGGCCATTTCCCCTTGTCCTGTTGCTTGTTACTTCAGACTGACCCCCACCTGGCTACAACCTCCTTTCACATAGCTGTAGAGAGTATAAGGTTCCCCCGAGTGTCCTTTTCTCCAGGCTAAACAACTCCAGCTCCCTCAGCTGCATCTCAAGACTTGTGCACTAGACCTTCCCCAGGTCCGTTGCCCTTCTCTGGACACACTCCAGCACCTCAGAGTCCTTCTTGTAGTGAGGGGCCCAAAAATGAACACAGGATTTGAAGTGTGGCCTCACCAGTGCTGAGTACAGGGGGTTGATCACTGCCCTGGTCCTGCTGGCCACACTGTTTCTGATACAGGCCAGGATGCCATTGGCCTTCTTGGACAAATATGTCTGTATCTAAAAATTATTTGGTGTTTTTGTTAATAGCTTTGAGATGATAAAATTATTTCCTGAAAAATTACTGTTCACAAAATCCTTTCTATGTATTTTTATAGCAGCAGAATCTATGGCCAAGAAAATGGCTGTGTAGGTAGAAAGGAATGACAGTATAAAGCAGAATTTTGCATTGGGGTGTGAGGGCTGTATGTGACTAATAAATGTGTGGAGGAAGAAAGCTGTATATGGAAAAATGTCTTTATGCATGGAAGGAAATTGAGTTTTTGTGTATGTGAACACTTCCATGTAGAATAAGTGCAGTATTTTGTGTTGGGATCCAGTGTGTGATAACTGGACAACATCTGCCACACAATTTGTTAAAGCTGTTTAATGATCTGCATAGTAACAAAGGCTGTGTGTGTTCTTCATGCTTTATAGCCCAGAATGATTCATCCATTCTGGATCTTACCAGATCAAGTAAATGACGCAACATTAAAAAAAATCTAAAATTTAGGAAACTTGAAGTCCAAAGAGTTTTAACTCGCATGTGTTGTAAATTGCCAATGTGTTTGATAGTTTGCTTTGGAAGTGTGTGCTACAGAGTGTTTTTCCTGAAAAAAAGGGTAAAGCTCTACACTTCACTTACCAATGTTGTGTTAATTCCACATTATAGTAATCACAAGAATTGTACTGTTAACTGATACCAGCTCAGCAGCCAAACTGCTTCACAGATTTGGATAATTTACTCCCTTGTTAATAGAGTCGTCGGAGAATATAAATGTGATACTTGCCAGCCCTGATAAAGTTTGATTTTTACGGTCTGTACGGTACATCACCAAGTTTCTAAGTTGTTGACAAATTATGTCTCTTTCCTCTCCCTCCTAAGATACTACGCATATCTTCAGCAAGCTCAAGCATTTTACTCCTTTCCGTTCCATCAGATGATGACTGCGGTGGCCAACATGGAAACGATGGCTGAGCAGCCGACTCTAGAGGGCATTCCAGAGCCAAACATTGCTCAGGAGCCTCCAAAAGGTAGATTGACTGGGCTGTGCTAAGAGAGCTAAAACAGTAGTAATTGATTGGGGAAAAAAATATTGCTCTTAAACTGCTTCTTTGGACATATTGGATTTCCTTTTCTTGGTGCTGTCTGAGGAAGTATTGATTAATTGTATTCTTTCAGTAACGTGTTTTAACAGATAATTACAAAGACAAGAAGTAAACCCAGGTGAATGTATTCAGGTTGTTCAGTCTCACACAATTATCTTGTTCCAGGAAAAGCAAAATTTTGTTTCAATAGATAAATGCATAATTTTTAGCTAATGTCATGGGTTTTAATATTATGTTAGAGAAGGTGGGTTTTAAAAATTCTGAGTTCAAATTTTTTTTTAAAATTTCTGCAGGAGAAGAACGATATAATACTGTTTATTTGAAATATTTTTGTTTAAATGGTTCCTTAGTGTGTTGTAGTAATCATAGGTAGGGAATTGGTTGTATAGACTAAGAATCACTTGGTTTAGTGCAGCTCATTTAAACAAAATGCAAACAGTGCTGGAAAGTGTACATGACACAAGTTTTGTACTCTCTGTACTTGTATGTTGCCTTTCTTTTCCCCCCTTAGGATTTTGTACACTTAGTCTTTGCAGTAGCTATGCCAAGGGGACATCTGTTGTTCTGTTACTGTGCTCACTCTTAGGACATAAAAAAGCAGTGATTTCTGCTATGCCTAAATTCTGATTCAGTAGCCAATACTCACACATAGAGTTTCACCTTACTTTAATAGATACAGCTCAGAGCTCTGTGTACCAAGGAGACTTATCAGCCAGTTCATGCAATGACATTGCTTGTTTAAATGCATCCTTCGATAACCATTTTTTTTTTGTTAAAGTTGCAATGCGTGGCCAGATAAAATCGTAGGAGGAAAACCTCCAGTTTAAAATAGTTGTGACTGCTCAATTCTGTCACAGTATTATTCATTTCAGTTAGGCTGCATCTCAAGTGCTGTGTAGTCAGTCTTCTTTTGGAGTTTTAGTATTGGATAACATAGTGTCACTGTGAGCACCCTGTTTGACTGCACTTGGAAGTATTTTTGGACAACTGTGATCCTCTGTTAGGAAGCTGTTCCCTAGTGTTGTTTTTTGCAAGAACTGTAAGTTGATCAGGGCCTTCAAAGGTGGGGATGGAATATTTATCAAATGTTTATGAAATTTACAGGAACATATATGAAAGACAAAGATTTGGAGTCCAGCTACTGCTGTGGTGAAAATAGTAAGATTTCTAGGATTATCCTCTGAAAGGCTGCCCTGGCATTGTTCATCTTCCATGACAGTGTCTGGTTGGTAGGTACCTGATCAGTGTGAGAGTTAGAAAAACATTATCCTGCTTCATTTAAAATACTCTGACTGCTCTGAGTTGGAGCATTATGTGGCATTATGCTGTCACATGAAAAACCTTCTAACTCTTCAAGGGGTAGAAAAAAGCTATTTATGTGGCTCACCAAGTCTAGACCCTTCTGTTCTCTTTATTGCAACTAGACTAGAGCTTGAGTACTGTTACTTAAAGCTTCCCTAAGCAGTTGCTGCAGTGATGCCCTGGGAATTTCACGTGATTTTTGTTTTCCCTTTTGTTTACGCAGCTTTCTTACAAGAATAGCTCCAAAAAAGTTTGCATACTTAGGGCAGTGTCTGGGTATCTACCATAGTTATTTTTTATCTGAGGGAGATTTTCATCTATGAATTTTGAAAATAAGATGAAGTCTCAATTTTAAAGTAATAGATTACTTTGTCTATTTAGCAGCTGATTGCTACTAGATATATCTTCATATTTTTCAAGTTGTGTTCTACAGCTTGACATTATTAATGAACATAGAGATAGAGAGGACTCCCTGGGTGGTCATGTCATGGCTAGTACCTGTGCTGCTTGAATCTCTAAATTTTAAGAGCCAGAAGATGAGGAAGCTTCAGATGAGTGAACAGTGACTACTTCATGTTGGCATTTTGTAAATAAAAATGAATGTTTGGTGTCACTCAGATTGAGATGCTGCATTACCTTGCTGAATGCTGCCCTGGAGAGTATCTGTTCTGGAAGCAGCATGTGAATGTATGTGAATGCAGCAGTGTGTGAATAGCTTATGTAGCATTCAGCCTCTGTGCTTGTGTTCCTGACACTGTGGGTAATCCTTGAGCCCTTTTGCTTTCGACATGCAGTTTGGTTTCTTCAAGATGTTATGTCACCTGTAACATTCAACTTTCATATTTAGAAGCTGAAGGGTGGATAGGTGACTAGAACTTCCTGTGACATTCTTTGGAACCTAAGCTTTGATGCTCTGGCATATCCTCCAAAAGAAATGAAACTGTTTCCAAAGGACTGTGGCATAAAACATGTAAACAACATAACCTAATCATGGGGTTACTCTTGGTTTGTATCCCAAGTCAGTGTAGTTGTCTGAGAGTAGTGTGTTTGTGTGTGGTACAGAGACACCTAAGCTAGCTCTGTGTTGAACCTGCAAAACCGAGATTCATCTGGTAATTTTTTTAATTAGTGAATTTTGAAGGTAAACTTATCTTTTTGTATCTATACATTTAGCTGAGTCTTTTTGACACTGCAACATTAGAAATGTACAAAAGGAATATTTACTTTGTGTTTCAGAAGTTAAGAAAGGAGGAAGGAAAAGAAAAGCCAAAGCAACTGAGCCAAAGCAACCCAAAAAGCCTGCTGCTAAAAAAGAAAAAACAGCCAAGTCAAAAGGCAAACAAGAAAAGATCACAGATACTTTTAAAGTCAAAAGGAAAGTGGATCGTTTTAATGGTGTATCTGAAGCTGAACTTCTGACCAAGACCTTGCCTGATATTTTGACCTTTGATCTGGACATTGTAATAGTAAGTAACTCAGAGTTACAAGATTAGGTAGAAAAGTTTTGTACTCGTTATGATTTACATTCTTTCTGCTGACTTATCTGTATTGCTTATATGGCAAGATCTTGCAAGATAAAGTATATAAACTGTTTCCTGTGTGTAGAGCTGCTTTGCCTTTTCTGTTAAAAGCCATAGTAGCATAGTCCTAATTTCTGAGAAATCTAAGGTTTAGGTATGATACAGAGTCATGAGAGACCGTTACTCGATGCTTTGTTTACTGGAAGCTCTGCACACTGTGAGCTGCCCTTTTGACATTGCACAGCTAAATGAGGCACTGCTGTAAAATTGTCAGGTTTTTTAAATGATGGAAGGTGCCGTTAACACAGTTTTGTTTGTTGACAGTAACTTAGAGAGAATTGAATCAAGCATCCTTACTGTAACTTGATTAAATTGCTGACTACAAGCCATGTTCTCATTGTTCAAATGGACTGATATCTTTCCAGATTGGCATAAACCCTGGCCTGATGGCAGCTTACAAAGGACATCATTACCCGGGACCTGGAAACCATTTTTGTACGTTTTCATTTTCCTTTCTGCTTTTAGAATTTGCAGAACTTTGTTAGAATTTGTGGTAATTTAATTTATTTTGTGGTTTGGGTTTTGTTTTTCTCCTGATTTTCTTTTGTTTTGGATGCAGAGAGGGATTTTGCTTTTAACCATCCAAGAGTGATTTAAATCCCATAAGTAGTTCTGTCAAATACTGCACATAAAAAGGAATAAAAGAGAAATAATCAGTGACTTTAGATGCAGGTTTAGAATTGTCAGGCAAACACACCGTTACCAAATACCTTATTGTGTTAGGGTGCAGCTTAAGGAATAAAAATTAAATCTCTAGTGCTTCAATTATCAAGGGTGAGTCAATAAGCATCAATTTCTGATGTAAAATAAAACTACAAGCATTATCCAAAAAATGTTTTTCACTAAGCCCTTTTCTGTTTGCATTTATACATCCATCTCTTCTTTAGAAGCTTTCTAAGTGATGAAAAAGCAAAGCCAGTTGCCATTTCCCAGCAGACATGTGCATCTGGCATACCTGATTCTCCAGGCAGATGTTTTGTCCTAAATATTTTTCCATTTTCAGTATAGCATTTGCTGCATCATGTTCTCATAAAAAAAGATCCTACCTGAACTCTGAAATGCTCAGTTCTGCATATAGGAGCCGTGGTGGTGGGAGGGAGCTCCACGTGGGCTAATTGCAGCCTTGTGATATTCCAGTCAAAACATTCCTAGTGCCCAGCAGACCCAAAACCAGGCTTGGGTATTTCTCTAGTGTTCTGCAGCCTGGTCAGACTGATCACCTCCTTTACTGAGAAGCAGGCCAGCTATGCGTGCTCTGGCAAATCCAGGTGTTTGTAACCTTCCCAAATCATTGGGAGCTACCTGGCGTGAGTTTGTGCTGGCACTGCACATCGCCCAAACTCTACTTTTATGTGCTAAATATGAATGTGAGATGTCAGCAGTTCTGTCCCAGAGGCTCAGGGCAAGGAGGAGCAATGGCAAGCTTGTAAAAGAAAGCTGACACATTGTATTTGCCACATTCTTTCCCACGGAATCCATATTGATCACATTCGCTCCCTGCTTAAGTGAGTCACAAAATCTAAAGCTCTGTACTGAACTTTTAGGATAAAAGACTGGTTTCCATACACAGGATCATGATGAGGAATTCCTGTTCATTAGGGCTTTTCTGTTCTCTTGCAGTAGATAAAGTAATAATCGTTATTTTAAACTTTTCTAGATAGGGCAATAATCTTCCCAAATTAACTGATGCTTTGTTAAAATAGATTCTTTCTTTAGCATTCCAGTATTCTGACAGTTGAGTTTTTTCCATTGTGCTTTCTTTTCCTTAGAAATAGGCAAATATGTATCTACCTTCTTACTTCACAGGGAAGTGTCTGTTCATGTCTGGTCTAAGTAATGAACAACTGAACCATATGGATGACCACACTTTGCCACATAAATATGGGATTGGATTTACAAACATGGTTGAAAGAACAACACCTGGAAGCAAAGACCTCTCCAGGTATGGCAGCAAGGGGGAATATATCATGCTTGTTAATGAATTAATAGTTGTGATTATAATTTTGAGTACCTTCTCTTTCAGCAAAGAGATTCGGGAAGGAGGGCGAATTCTGATGCAGAAGCTACAAAAGTATAAACCTCGTATAGCAGTTTTCAATGGAAAATGTGAGAACCTTTTAAATTAATTTGTTCTGTCAATAGCTTTTTTTTTCTTCACACTTATCGTATCCTTTTTTTATTTTAGGTATTTATGAAATTTTTAGTAGAGAAGTTTTCGGAATTAAAGTTAAGAACTTGGAATTTGGACTGCAGCCACACAAAGTGCCAGATACAGAAACTGTGAGTATTGAGACTAAGAAACAAAACCAGGGCATTCCGTTTAAAAACTAACAAAATCTCAGGACTTGCATACACTTCTGACCATGAACCAAGTACATTCTGATAGTGACCAAAGTACAACACGTGTGGAAGGCTTTTACCTGAATAGAGAAAGGGGGATAGTGCAATTTTCAGACACATCTTTCATGCAGCTTCTTCAGACTTGCAGATTTTATTTGGGAAATGGTGTATTATGATTAGTTGGTTAGTGCATTCTCTGACAGCTGTCTAAAGTACGAATAATACATGCATGCTTTTGTGATAACTTTAAACTGATTCCCTGTGTCCAATTTGCTGGATATTTGTGTTACTGAACTTTAATACTGAACATGACCATGGTGCTGGTAGTGCCACTGTGGGGCAGAAAGAACAGCAAGTCCATCATCACTGTGCCATTACACACAACCACTACAGCATTACAGGAGCTGGGCATGCCCAAGCACTGCCATCAGTCTGGACCTCCTTGGGCTGATTTGCAGTTTGAAGTTCAATTGGGTACTGAAGATAAAACAAACAATTTGATGAAGAGTGCATTAGTCACAGACATCTAGTGCTGGAAAGTATCTCAATAGACCAGCTATTTATCATCAGAAATAGGTTTGTTTAACATGTTCTTATAAACAGGTTAGGGCAAAGGCAATTACACTACCTGCCAAGGTAGCTTATTCTAAAGCTTCATTACCTTGTCAGTTCAAAAGTTTGGATTGTTTTTCTTCTTATTTCTGTCCCAAATTACTAGTGCTGCAAGTTTAAGCTGTCTTTCTCTAAAGGTGAAGTGTTGCCATTAGAGCTTAAAGAACTGTTGTTGATAAAGTGCTTGCTTTCTTAAGTAGCTCTTAAAGACTTCTGCGGCAGATGTATTTGTAAGAAAGATAAATAATCCCCTTTACTGGTACTTGTTCGTAAATACTGCATGGCGATAAAAGGATTGAACAGTTTGTTTTTGCTCAGCTAACTTGATGTCTTTAGTTAAGGCTGTTGGCAGAGGCAGAGACACTTGAGTTGGCTCCAACCATACTGACTAACTGCAGTTTCACACCCTGGCATGTGTGCTGTGGATGCTCTTGGCCCAGAAGCCAAGCTAATTAACCCGTGGTGCCTCCCTCACTGGTGTGGGCTGTTTGCATGCTGCCACGTACTCCTCTGTGGACTCTCTGGCTCAGGGCTCTGCTTGTTCAGAGAGCTCTGCAGTGTGCTCCAATCTCTGGCACACACTGCAAATTTCTTGTACCACACACTGGTACTGCTTCTCCTGCAGCACATAAATAACTGGTGAAAATTGTCCTCACTTTGGCAGCTAATAATTGGCCCCTGTCTTCAGGGCAAGACAGCTGGCTGGACAAGAAAAACTAAAGACTCCTTTTAGCCCCTTCCACGACCACCTCTGGCATTAGTTGAAGTTTGTACAAAGGGTTAAAGCAGTGGGCTTAACTGTTAAGTTGTTCTCAATGCACTAAATATTAACTCATAGCTCAATAATGCTGTTTTTCTTGCTCTTTGTCTCAAGCTCTGCTACGTTATGCCATCATCCAGTGCAAGATGTGCTCAGTTTCCCCGGGCACAAGATAAGGTTCATTATTACATAAAGCTGAAAGACTTAAGGGACCAACTGAAAGGCATCACACCAAACACAGACGTGCAGGAGGTGCAGTATACATTCGACTTGCAACTTGCACAAGGTACAGTGCTTATTTTGTTAACCCTTTATTAAAATGCAGTGTAGTGTACAAGACAACTAGAAGTTTCCCAAGCAAGAAAGAAATAAAGAATTTAATGGGGGATGGGGGGGAGGGAGGCAGATGTGCCATCTTTTCTAAACTGTGTTGTGTAGAATTACAGATTCCAACTCTCTTTATAGTACAGCCTAAATTCTATAAGGAGAGCAGGGGATTATCTTGTAGAATTTGTGGCTGGTTTTCAAGTGTTTTCTGATAAAAGTGTTCTTTGATAATGTTTGTTCTAAATATTAATACTTGAGGTGTTCTGTTTCTGCAGAGGATGCTAAAAAGATGGCTGTCAAAGAAGAAAAGTATGACCCAGGCTATGAAGCAGCGTATGGAGGAGCTTACTGTGATCGTGCACCGTATGACAGTGAGCAGTGCAGCTTCCCTTCCAATGGAACGGGTAAAGTGCAGCGCTCTGGGCATTCGGGCTGTGAACCACTGCTTGGGAACGAGGACTCAGGGCTGTCAGCTGCATTTTGTAAACAGTGGGATTTTTGTTTTGTTTCAGCGGGAAGCAATCCACAGCACTGCGAGGGGTCGTCCTTCGGTGTAGTTCCTAATGGACAATGGATGACACAGTCCTTTGCAGACCAGATTCCAGAGTTCAGTGCCGGTGTGACACAGGAAGAGGAGGGAAGCAGCGTGTAGGGGCTGTTCCTTCTCAGCTATGCATCCATGCTGCAGTTTTAATGCAGTGACCAAGATTGGTACCTCGGTTCTCCAACTGAAGCATTTTAATAGTATTTTATCTCCCCTAGTTATTTTATTATAGTCCAAAGTAAGTGTGTGGTAGGCTGAAATCGATGAACTAGATGATTTTAAGAAACTGTTCAAACTTTTTTTAAAAAAGTTAGCCCTTTTTTGTATATGAGTTTTATATTTAATGTATGCCATTTCTTGCAGTTTTTGACAAATTGCTTTCTCATTTGTGAAGATTTCTTTTGGGCGTTAATTTTATTTCATGAATTGTAATGTAGTAGTAACAGCAGCAGTATACTTCTTACTGATGCCTCAATATTTGGATATCTCACAATCTTTTTATATCCGGAGGGGAAAATGGGAAGTGTACCCTTAACTTATGTGAAGCGATATTTTTAATCAGGCACAGTTAAGGAAATTGTGCTTTTTAAGTCTGCCTCTTACCTTCTTAAAAAGTGCAGAAAGTTGCACTCTGCAGCTGTGAGTACTGAGTATCTTCTGGGTGGGAAGAGAGAGCTCTGTCTGCTTGGTGAGTGGACCATATTCAGGATTAAGGGAGTGAAGACATCTCTCAAGTCACAACACTGGGGAGGAAAATTTGTGTCACACAGGACAGGGCCTAAATATTCTAGCTGAGCTGGCTTACGGTAAGATATCCCTACCACTCTATCTCTTTCCCTCTGAAATTACAATGTAAGGAACTGGAATTCCTTGAAAAAAGCCCCAAAACAAACAACAGTGGTGGTTCTTCAATTGTGTAGCATTCAAACACTGTCGTTACTGTGTGATTAGTCTCTTCACATGACCTTCAGCAGTAGACAACCCCTTTGAACAGATTACATGTCAGGGAATTGAAAGGCTGCATCCTCTGTAAAAATCACGTACAGCTACATTGTTTACATCATGTACAATTAGCACAGGGTGAAAAGAGTTTGCAATTTAGCAGGTTTTAACATTCCGTTCTCTTCAATCTGTAGAGGGTGGTCTTCTTATTCCTCTTACAAGCAAAAAATACTGAGTTAAATATAGGAGCAGCTGTTCCATGAATAAGAAGTTGGCTGTAGAAGCTACAGCTCTCTTCTGAGGAACTTGCCTAAATGATATACATTTTTGACCAATATTAGTTACTGAGAAAGAAACGAGATTCCATCCTGGTGCTTAACCATCATCTTCTTTCCCTCCTTTATCATGTGAGGAAGAAATGAAGTAAAAGCAATAAGCTGATCAAAACACTACAGTTTTGATGATCTTATAATAGTTGGTGCTTCACATACTTGAAAAACAGATACAAACAGTATCTCCACACTCCGTGCGGGCCAGAGAGTCCTGTAGGGTGTGATTTATCCTTTCTTCACAGCCAGCAACAGTTGTCAGTTGTGTGTAACTAGTTAGTGTAGGTTCTAATCTTGCTGTAACAGCTCTCACTGAGATCGCACACTGTCAACCTGTTATGAGGCAGGCATGATGTTTACAGTTTTTTCCCAAATTATGTGGCTTAATTCTGAGCGTCTTAAATCAAGAAAGTGTGCATTATGATTCTGATTGTGTTTATTAGCTTCAGCATAAAGCTATTCTGTATATTGTCAGAAAGGTATAGGACTTGTCTGTTATTTAAAGTGTACTGTATCATGTATTGCTGTTTACATGGGTGTTTTCCTGCAGGTGCTCAAAGTATCTTGCATCAGGGATTTGTTACAATTCAATTATTTTATTTTCAACAAAATTGGAAGCATGGAATTAGCACTGCTGAGTATGTAGCACAGTAGGATTTAACTCCTGAAAGGCTATCCTCTTTGAGTGGAAGGGAAAGGTGTCTTCTTTAAAGGAGTCACTGGATGCAAAATACAGTTAAGTCTACAATGACCGTTTCACTAAATACTGCAATTCTATGTGTCCTCCCTCAGAACTGGTGCTCTTTTTGTTACAGTAATACAGAAGTTCTTAATCTGTCTTAAATCTATCCATGTTTCACAATAAAATCAGGAATTGTACTGCAGTGTCTTGGAATGTGCTTTCACATGTTGCTAGCGAAGGTCTAAGTGCACTACAGGATGTGTCATATACAGAAATGCCTCAAAACAGTCACCACTCAACACAACTCTACTCAGTAACATATGCCTAAGATCTCATTTCATGCTCTTCAACGTGGGCCAGACAACTAAAGACACCTTGTGTGTAATACTGCAGGTATCTGCTGGGTAGGTCTTTCTACCAGAAGACATTGGAGTCTTATTTATAAAGACCTTAAATTAAAGTACACTGTCTGGCACCGAGTTTTACCTCTGTAAATGTATAATGAAAATACTTCACTGTCAAGTAAACCTAGTTCCTCACCTCACATCAAAGTCAGGATAATCTGAACCATGTAATGGTCACTCCAGCCTCCCTCTCAAGCCCTAAGCACACAAAAGTGATGGTCAGTTATTCATATATTTAACAAATACGTCGTTTTCTAGAATCAGTTAATCATATTCCTCATATGCTGCGTCTCAAACTATTACATGCATCCAATACACTATGTTTGGCAGTATTTAAGTTGTTTCAGTATCAGCTATCAGGACGAGTTAATTTGAACTTCCCTGAAGGGTCAGGAATAAACCAGTTTTCCCACAGATCAGTGTGGACACTGGGATAGTCCCAAGGTTTGTATCTCCCATTCCAGTGAAGTAATTTAGCTTCTTGAAGAAATTGCTCTGAGTAACGGGCATCAGGACTCCAACCTGCATGGGTAGATAAAAAAAAAAAAATTTAAAAATCCAGTTTTTAATAAAGGAAAACACTACAGAGTGAGTTAAATTCAAGTGATTTTTTTTTCAGAAGTCTTATTAGTATGATTTCATCAGATAGTTGTACGATAGAGTAGCTTTTTTTTAGCTTGATGCCTTTAATGCTGCATCAGCAAAAAAATTTCAGCAAGTTTCTTCTCTCAACACTTTTATCATCCTGGCATAGCTGGGATTAAAACCAAAATCTATTCATTTTACCACACCAGCTAAGACATTATGTTTTTCCTAGGATAATTCACTCCTAGGTGAAAGGTAACTGCATCCTCCAGAATGCTGACAACAAATGCTGCCCAGCCTCCCATATTCTTCCAACTGCACGTAGAAAAAACTGATTTTTTTCAGTCTGACTATATGCAGATCTTTCACATATTCTTTCATAGCTGATGGCAGTATAGGTTAGCTGGTCTTTAAACATGTAACTTTGCCCTTGGTATTTGGGTCTTCTTCCTTTTTTCATGCAACTTCATAACTATTAGGTGCTTGGGGTTTTTGCAGGGATGCAAATATGTTGTTTGCTTGACCTGTTAGGATACTTGCATCCAACTCCCACATTCTGCCCTGCCCTGAAGAAAGCAGGACTCATGAGCCTTGAGGGAAGTGGGGATTATGTGCTGTGGATCTGAGACAAAAAGTAATGCCTGAGGTACAGTAATGTAAGGTCCTGCACTGGGATCTTACAAACCACTCACTTTAGTTCCAACTTGGAAACAGTGAGAAGTTAAACTTACCAAGATGCCTTATGTGCCACATAGGATTAATAGAGGAATACTTTCCATGAAATACAATCAGCATTGGAGAGGTTGCCACGCCTCCCCCAAGGGTGCTGCTGTAGAGGTTTTCCCTGCAAAAGGAAAAATAAGAGAGTATGTTCAAAACCTCAAAGAATTTTTAGCACGAAAGGCAGAAGATTAAAAAATAAGTATTCTGGCAAAATTCAAAATCATTTTGAATCAGTTTTCAGCAGACTCCTTCCTTATGCTGTTAATTGATTGTATTTGTAACTCCAATTCCCACGGAGTAAATTGTTGCTACCAAGAAAAATGGGAATCAGACCCACCATGAAACCAGTTTCTTCTACACGCAGCCTGTGGTCCTCAATAATGACAAAGTTAACTGTAGAAAAGAAAGCTGTTAAAGGAATCAAACATAATTTAGCCTGGTTTCTTAAGAAAATGTACATATTTCCATGTTTTCCATTCCCTTTCTTTCCCTTTTCCCCTCCCCCAGCTTTTAGACCTCTGGTTGGATTTTGTCAAAGCCTAGTTAGCATCAATTAGAATATTAGTTTCCTATGGATTTTGTGGTAAATCCAGGGCTAGATCAAGCCTAATCATGGTAAGGGGAGGCATTAGGAGATGGCAGCCAGATGTCTGTCCACATGTGCTGATGGCCCTGCTGACCAGTTGGCACATGGGCAAAGCCACCCCACCTATGGGACACTGTGCCACCCACCTAGTCCAGTGGGGAGGAAACCTGGGAAGTACAGGGAGGTGCTGAAAGGCCACAGAACAAAAAAAATCATAACCTCCCCTCAAAACTGAGTTTCAATTGATAAGCAATTTTTTTTCACTGCCATTTCAAAATCCAGCTAAAAGGAGCATGAATGTGTTATTAAGGCAGAAAATCAACTTTATAGATCAAATTTGCAGTAATATAGAGTTCTCACTCTTAAAATCTCTTTAAAAGCACAGCAATAGCTTGTCAGGATATGTTACATAAGCAGAGTAAGAGAAAAATATTCGGCTTCTCAGTCATTCACATACTTCTCATTTGTGTCCCTCATCTGTTCATTTCTAAAACTAACAAGTAATGGACACAGCCCAACAGCACAAACCATTCAGTGGCAGTTTAGCCTTACTAAACTGAAATTCAATCCTTTGCAGAGTCAAGTTTTCAAATACAGGTTAACAGGGAACTAATGTAAATAACGAATGGTGCTTGTTTCACTGTGTTATGACTTATTCATGGTCAATAACATAAAGATATCTTTCATGTCAAATTTCCTTCAACTAGAGAAAAAGAAGTCTTTTCTACTGGTATTAAAAAAAAAAAAAAAAGATGGTGTCCAATTACAGTTTGGCTGATGCTACAATAGGAGAGTCCCCACACAAACAAGGAAAGATTCCTCCTTCTTTCAGCCAGCCTCAGGAAGGGAAGATCATTAAGTGGCTTGATCCCAAGTGAAGTTGGTCACCCAAAATGAGAACCACATGTTTTCAGTGTCCCTCAGGATTATGTGTGGTTTGTCATTAAACACAAGACTAAAATTCCAGCTGGTCATTTCCTGGTACAAAATTGGTCAGATTTAAACAGATGGAAATGCTGAAACAGGAGTTAAAAGAAAGACTGCCTGGAGTTGAAAAAAACTTTTAAGAGCTTTTAAACAGAAAATAAAACTGTAAACCAAGTATGAAAAGTAAAGTGCAAAGCTAAATTTCTACACATACTCTACATTTCTTTGCATCCACTTTTCCAACTGCTTCGTAACCCGCTGATGTTTCCATTCAGTCATGTTAGCAACAATTACTCCAGGATTAAAGGAACAGGTGCTGGGGCTGATGCCAAGATCTCTGATGGCTTGCTTTCTGTAGTCCAGGAATCCCATGTATGTGTTCTAAGAAATAAAAAACTATGTTTATCCCCTATGAATCTTTTTAAAGATGTGTACATTCATCTCTCTATCACTGAGAGGGAGACTAAACAGGCGCTGCCAAAGCTGAATTTCTAGATGGTGGTTATGTGTAGTGATTTCCATATGACACAAGGCTGAAAGGCAGGATACTTCCAGATACTAAATTAGTTTTTCCACAGTATGGTACAGTGGAAGTTTGATAAGGCTCTTCCCTCACCACATCTTTGCTTTTCAGTAGCTCACACCAAATATGCAGCATCAGACTTCTGCAACCATAATACTAGAGGGATGCCCTGACAATTCTGGGAAACTCAGCCCAGGAGTTAGTCTTTAAATTGTTTTCCTAGGTTTCATTCCCAAAGTGACTAATACAAATATCATATATTCTGTCTTCACTAGATGTTCTATAAATGCTCACTATCTACTGATAGCAAAATACCAAACATAATTTAGTAGAATCCGAAGAACAAGATACATTTAAATTATTACAGGAAACAACTCTGCATAGCACTACAGAGTTACTACAAGAAGTTCTTAATTACCGGTACAACTATTACGAAAGTAAATATCTATATCTATATATATAACTTTCACTTTGGGAAACACATATGAAATCTTCTTACACTTATGGGTAAACAAATTCATTATTAGAATTCCAGAATGGCATCTTACCTGCATCCCTACACTTCTAATCATTTCATGTGTAGAAGGCAGATCACAATCATCTGAAAAAGCTGCAGCATGTCCAGGAGCCAACTTAGTATCATAGAGTTCCTGGATGTCACCTGATTACAGAAAGGTCAAAAGCATAAAACAGCACCTACTGCATTGCTACAGGGTTGATAGGATAACATCCCTTCTCATATATGTTACTTATAAACACACCAGTTTTCAGGGATAGCCCAGATATTGATAAAGGCTGAATTTTGTAATACGGGACAATTCTTAAATTTCAGTCCTGTACCTGGATGTCTAAGGTCTATCTTTAAATATTATCACTGGTATTCAATACATTCATATTCTGGTTTGAGTGTCCAAAATCACTTCCAGCAGAAGCTGATTACACTGTTAAGAAGCCTGGTTACAAAATTCTGTATTCACAGAGCTTGCCTTTGGAGAGGGAGAGCACAGGCAATTTTTCTGATCCTCTTCAAGTCCTACAAAGGTGCCACTTCAATCTCTTGCACAGGATCAGGTTTTTCCTGGTATTATTGCATTTATACCTCCTTGTAAGATACCTAGGTTCCCAGCAATGGATAGTAGAAATGTGCCTGTCACTCCTGACCATCCCTGCTGGCTTCACAGACCATCCAGCTCCTTTCTGGTGGAGAGAAATAACCTCACTCATCACCTGACTGGCAGGTACCCACGATGCGCCAGAACAGTTTCAGGGCGGGTGGGAAGCACAGCACTGCCACAGTAATCGAGTGAGCCTGCACCCAAACTCCTACAGCTACCAGTTCTGCTGCTGGGCAAGGGTTGGTCACTGTTAAGGTGAATTATCTTGGAAGGCCATGTCCCAGTAGCCTGAGGTGAGCTCATTAAAAAACAAGTAACCAAAAACATTCCCCATACTGCCAACACTGGAACGAGTATTTCTGAAATAAACAGAGATTATGTATTTGTCTGAACTCACCAGGTGGCTGGAAACTCATGTCCCACCAAAAATAGAATTTGAATTAGTAGGACACTTAATTGTTGAAGATCAGCATGCCTTGCTAAGTGTTTTCTCATGATTCTTAACAGCTGATGCTTTTCTCTTGAGAAGCAAAAACAAGTGAAAAAAAAAATCAAAGCAAAGAATTCTGGGCCGACACCCCAAGTTCAGTATGTTTCATTCTTACCACTTTGCTGAAAGCAACAACCAACAAATAAATGATCCCAAAGTTCTGTCCCATTCTCTCCCTATCCCATGAGAAGTCTCATTCACTCCCATTGCAGAGACATCTGAGAGAGCACAGTCTCAAATTACAGCTAAGACACAGGGAGTAGCTGCCTGGACAGGCTCTCTTCCTCCACCTCACTCCCACATGTCCATCTTTATTCCCTTCTTGTGGGCCCTATGATTGCGTGGCCAAAGGGTGAACAAGACAGGCTGACTGAAACAAAGGGGAAAAAAAAGACTTAAAAAAAAAAAAAAAAAAAAAAGAGTTTGGTTTCTTCTTTTTTTACATTTTGTACTGCTAGTCTTCTGCCAGGTCAACCAGCTGAATCAGATTCTTCTGCAGCTGCACAACTGCAGATACGACGTAAGTAACAGGAGCTGCCTGGGGGCAGGAGAGGCCACTTGGTCAGCAGCAGCCAACCATGAGCTGTAATGAGAAACTGCACCTTTATCCTGCAGCTCCACAAACACCATCAGCTGACATAAACTGACACCTCTAGTGAAAGAGAAAGCCCTCTCTCTCCTCCTCCAGCCACGCTGCCTTGACTGCTACCAGGGGGCTAATTAAGGCTGAAAGTAATCGCGTTCCTGGTGAACCCCTGTGCGGGTGCAGGGTGGGGTGCAGGGGAAGTGGTGGGCTCAGCTTGAACCACTCATGAAGCTGGAGTCTAAGTGAAGATTTTCAGAACTTTTCGAAGAGTTAAATATTGCTGTTGTCCATTGATAACGGAACAACAAAAAGCAGAGAAACACCCATGTTTAAGAACTGTGATACGAAGTCTATTGCAAATAAAACAAGAAAGGTAGAGTGGCTTAGTCGTCTTTTATAAAGCAACACTTTAAGTGCAGATGTTCTGAAATCTGTCTCTCAAGAGGCAAAATTAGAAAAGGGTGTAGAAAAGGAGTGCAGAATTATACTTTTGTCATGCGTAAATTCAGTGGTCTTAATGTTCTTACAGCAAAGACTAACTTAGGGCAACAAGTTTATTGTAGTTATACTCAGTCCTTTCCAAAGAAAATTTTCATTGGAACATTCCTTTAATGTTTAACGAGAACAGGTAAAATGGTTTTGTTGCCCCTGTGGCCTGGCTAGGATAGAATTCATTTTCTTCATAGCAGCTCATGTGGTGCTGAGGTTTAGATTTTTAGCACACTCATGTTCTGGCCTTCCCTGTTCCTCATTCTGCCCCCCTCAGTGAATAGGTTGGTGGGTGCACAAGAGGCCAGGAGGGAACACAACTGGGCAGATGATCTGAACTGCCTAAAGAGCTATGCCATGCCACACAATGCCATGCTCAGCAAGAAAAGGGGAAAGAGGGCATCTGGGGTGGGTAAGGAGAGAAGAGGTGTAGGTAGCCAGCTTGTGCTTGGGAACTGGCTGGGCATGGATTGCCCATCTAAGGGGTTTAGTTTTCTTCTCCTCCCTCTTATTCCACTTATCCTTTGCTTATTACACAATTATTTGTTTGCTTGTTTTATCTTGACCCTTTTCTCTTCCTCCATCCCACTGGGGGTGGGGAGAAAGTGAGTGAGCAGCTGTGTGGTGCTTAGCTGCCCACCAGGGTTAAAGCACAACACCCTGACTAAAAAAGTGTTATAAAATAACAAGAAAATGTGATTATACAAGGGAGAACAACAACTCTAAAGAGAAAAAAAAAACCCTACTGGGAAACAGAACTTAAAAAAACCACTGCTGTTCCTCTGATTAGATTACTTTGTATGATAAGGAAAAAAATTTTTTTCAGGATTGGAATATCTTCTAACTGTTCCCATTTGTTTGGGAACTCTCAGATCTTTGATCATGACTCTGCAAATTGCTTTGGATTCTGAGCTGAAGATGCTCAAATCATATTTTGAGTGTTTGGAATTTTAATCCTCTTATTTGAGTTAATTCCTTTTGCTCTCGAGAACAGCAATTCTGGATAAGGAATTGGTAGCATTTGGGGGAATTCAAATACTAGCAGGAAATGCATGTCACATATTTAATAAATATTGCAGCACCGGAGTGAAATCCATTGTATCATTTAGGAATTGACCAGAATCAATTACAATGAAACCCACATACAATTTCAATCTCAATTATTCAAAACATATGCAGATAAGTTCTTCTTCAGACTTTCATTTAGATAAAGAGATTATTTGTAGTTCCCCTAAGTTCAACACTCCTAGCAGCTGCCTTAGTTTCCATTATATCTCATATTTCCAAATGACCATAAAAGCTGCAATAACTTTAGTTTTAATTCTGCTAGAAACTGCTTTTTAGATGACAGCTTACCTTGAACAATAACATCATCATCCAAATATATTACTTTCTCATGTTTCTGGATAAGCAAAGGAAGATAAAATCGAACAAAGTTCAGCTATTAAACAGGAAAAAAAAAAGGTAAAGACTAAATGGTAAAGTTGTTTAATGTACTTGTCTCACACTTCTGTCTCTATTAACAATCAGTGTTAATATCTCTTAACTGAGCACTAGCCAGTGATCATTTTTTTCCTCCCCCCAGCTTTACTAGTGTCCTGAATCCGTTGTTGTTATTATTATCGTTATCATTATTATCAATCCATATTTATTTGCCATGGCCCAAACCAAACAGCCCAAAACAGTAGCACTCATTGCATGAGAAGTGTGCAACATCTCCTGTTTGTGTTGACTGTCAGTCCAACTAATATCATCTCATGGCCATTAGTTCTTACATGTGAAGAGAGTGAGCAACCATCCTCCCCTCAGCCCCTCACACCACTCCATTCTCTAGACCACTACTATTTTCATGCTAAAAGTCCACTATTTCCAGGCTGAACAGTTTTAACCCGCTGATTCCCTTCATGAAATCTTTTCCATATATTAGAAATGTCAAAGGCTCAGAGCAGGCCAGTGTGAACAAACATTCTGGACAAACTCAAACATTTTCTGGTGGTGCTACATCTTTTTCAGTTAAGGGGACGAAGACTGCACACAGTATTTAGGATGAGAGAAAACTGTGGATTTGCACTGTGGCAAACTGATGTTCTCTATTTTGATCCTTACTCTTTTTCTAATAATTTGTAACATCTGATTTGTCTTTTATGACAGCCAGGAATTTAGATTAGTCATTAGACTCTGAATTAACCCTGGACATGAGCAGAATGCAGCCAACTCAAGTATCATGAAGGCACAGTAAACACTATTACATCTCCCCTCTAATAAATAGTGTATATACTGTCAAAGATACAATACATTCAATTTACCAATTTTATGTCATCAAATAGTAAGGTCCCAGCAAGACAGACAAGTTGCAAGGAGCTTGTTATAGGGCATTTCTCCTTCTTAAGTCAGGGTATAGCATTTGGATCTGATTTGGCTTCTCTGATTTACACTCCCACATGTAATAGAACAGATCTAGGACATTTTAAAGCCCGTAATAGGTGTTAAAAAAACCCAAAAATTTGTTATGTGGTGTTCATTTACTCACAGGCTGCAGTAGCTCAGGACGTGATGCATCTTGTCTGATTTTTCCTTTTAGTACCATAGGGTTGAATTCTACAACCTTAAATTTTATTTCTTTCAGTTTAGAATTTTCAATCCATTTTCTGTGATTAAGAAAGAAGTGATAAAAGAAATATTGAGTGTGTGGCAAGTACTTGCAACATGAAATTCACAGACCCTTAGGAGAATAAGAAGGCTTGAAAGCTCACTCATCTATTCTATCCCAACACAGAATCACTTATGTCTACAGCCATTGCACAGATATGTCTTTAAAACAAAACACAAAAAAATCCACACAAAAACCTCAACAAAACAAACACCCCACAGCACTGTCAAAGCCAGACTCCATGTGTTGCCCAAATGACCCATCTTTCACCATCACTAGCAGTAAGTGCTATTTTTCTAAGATTTCTTTGTATAATTAAAGATCATTATTTCTTATCCTATCTACCACGCTTTTAAAGTAGAGGTTAGTTTTCTCCCTTTTACAGTTTTATGTCCTAGATGATTGCCACATCACATCCTAATTATATTTTCTTCAGACTAAACCAATATTTTCATTATTTTGTCAGACTTCTTATCATCACTGCTTATTTTCTCCTCTGACCTCTCTTCTAAATCCTTCCTGAAGGCACCTAAAGCTAACCACACTTTTTTGATGCCTTAATAATGTCTCCAAGATTGGAAAAAGTTTCCTCACATCTCCTCTGGTTATATATGTCAACATGTATAACCACTGATGCATGCCTTCTGTTTTTTGAATCAGTGTGGTCAGTTATCAGTCATAATTCTGCAGTTTTCCAAATGAATGCTACTGAACCTCCGCTTCACTCTGAGCCAATACAATCAGCTATTCCCACTAACATTACCTTGTCATTCCCTCTGCTGATTCTAATCATATTTTACAGTTAATTTTTCCTGTTCATCATGATTAATTTGTTTTCAGCTCTTGTCCTCAATAAATTTGCTGCTTCACGCCAACTGCAGATTCATAAAGAACATTCTTCACTCTATTATCTAGGTTGCTGATGAACTAGATGTGAAAAGCTCCCTGGGGGACCCCACTCATTACATCTTTTCAGTTTGACACAAATTGTGGCACACAGGCCAGAGGTGAGACCCGCTAAGAAATCTGCTTTTGTTTTGCTTCACACCTTTCTCCTCTTAAAGACAATGTTTGCAAATTTTAACATGGAAACATGCTCTCGTTACAAGCTTTTTGGGATTCTTTTTATAACCTTTCATTCATCCTCTTAGACGAAATTAGTTTTAAACAGTTCTGAAGCTTAAGATAGATGAGAGGTAAGAGCAGTGCCACAAAGTGGGATTGTGATGAGTAGGAATATGTGTACTTACTAAAGACTTCTGCAGCCCATCTACAAAAAGCAGAGAAGGACAGGTCTGGGTATGGTCTGGCTATTTCACATCCTTTTACATCAGTCAGTGGCTTCCTACACGTACAGAATCCTGGGGGCTACTACCAATAGCACTACTTAAATAAAAGGGAGAAACATTTCCCTGAAAGGTCCTGCAAAGTCTATCCCTGTGCTAGGGAGAACAACCACCTGGTCCTAACTTCAGCATGAAGCAAAGAAAGGCTGGTATATACCGAATGTGTGGGATGGTTGTCTTCAGCCCAACTATGTAGAACAAAACACTGGCCTCTGTGTTGCTGTGGATGCTACTGATGGCTGCTACAGCTGCACCCATCCTGCCCGCAGCAGCGCAGATCACCACGGGGATTTCTTCTTCCATTTCCTCAGGACTCTCCAAATCAACTACAAGAAACAAATCCATTTTACATCAGATCTGGGTCCCAGGAATGAATACTTTCATGAGCAGTGGAATCATTTCACCATCACCCCACTTCCTTACCACATTCTAACACAAATCCCCATCTGGCAAGGCACACAGCATGAGCTGTCACTAGTACAGAACAGCGTGAGGTTTGACTGGACTGCTGGATGCCTCCAAACAGAATATATAAGAGAGTTCTCAGCATCTTCTTCTCAGCAGGGTCACAATTCAGCCTGTCCTTCATGTAGCTGCTTATTCACATGAAACCTGAAGAGGTTTGAATACCTTTGAGACTTCTTCTCAGTTATATCTAGTACAAATTCAACAATAGGTTCCAAAATTATGAAAGGAAAGAAGTGAGTCAAAAAGAGTGCAATTGCATGACCTCCACTTCTTTGGGAAGTAGGCTTAAAAGGAACAGTGCAAAAGTTTGTGCCAGCAGGAAGTTGCTAATGATAAAAGGAAAAAAAACTCTAAATAATACTGAATCAGGTCACATTACTGATAAGGAAGATTTTTATCCCTAGCACTGCTTAACTTACAGAACTTAAATGGATATATTTATATTGGTTAAAACATAACCATTTAAGTCATAACAACCCCAACCAAAATATAATGAAAATAGATGGTTTATACCCAGAAAGAGTTTGTTTTCCTTGGGAACAGTGAATAAGCTATTTGTATTAACATTTAGTACTAGCTCAACCATATCAACCCTAGCAGGTTTCTGTCACTATAAATATTCCAGCAAAAACTTCTGCTGTAAATGTCAAGATTTGATGGTCTATCTGAAATCAATAAGCAGGCCAAGAACATTCCCAAAGAGGCAAGTCGTGATGGAAGTTTATTACCAGTTGACAACACCAATCTGTTCAGCACAAATAAGGATATACTCCAGCTTCCATCTACATCAGTGACATCTGGATAAAAACGTGAATCAGAATGACAACTCTTAGTCATTACTACCAATTCCTTTCTATTTTATCCAAGTAATTCAGAAGCAAGAAATTTTGCATCCCAGACCATATGGAATGGTGTGAGTAGCTCAGCTGCTGCAGGACAAACAAGATTCAGTAAGATGGAAAGTGCTGTTCAAATCAAGACATGAGGAATGTAAAACGAAACAGAAGTGCAAGTCATTTACCTGTTTCATTTTTTAACGCCGATGGCACTTGGTGAACTTTGTTATACAGAATGGCACACACAGTTAAGACAAGAAGTAACAGTAAGATCTGGTTAACTGAAACAAAAGGGAGAATGTATTAACAACCAGTATAACAGTATAACATAATTCCCAATTATCTGCTTAAAAACAAAAAATCCAATTTGCAACCTGTACATATGATTACCTGTATCTGCTGTGTTTATCAAATTCTTCTTTCTCACGTTATTTGATCAAGCTAAAAATTTTATGTTAAAAACATAAGTCTTCCCTGTTACGGTAATTTCCAACTACCTCATTTTCATGGTTAATTTACTCACTAAATCATAAGACTCACAATATATGTGGGTTATCCATACTAGGAAATTCACATGTTTCTGAATTTACCAGGAGCTTGGAATCTTTTTTCCTGCCTAATTTGTTGTCTGCTTATCCTCACAGGACATCATGAGTTAATTATATTTGGCTAGCCCTTTCTTTCCCTAGTGCTTCTCTGATAAAACTTCATGCACAGGAGAATTTTTTTTTCTATTTCAGATCTTCAAGGTGTATTTGAGCAAAACTCCAAAAATTCTAGAAACACAAACCCAGCATGCTACTGGAACCAGGAATGTTTCAAAATATTTGAAAAGACATATTTTGACAGAGTAATTTTAATTAGTAAAATCAAAACAAGGCATGCAACAGCAAATACACCTGACTGTGTATTCTGATTTACAGTTCCTACAAATCTTGGACAAGATAAAGTCATTCAACACAAACCAGCCACATGCAGGGACCAGAAGAGTTTACGGAATACAGAGGGGAAGAAGTGCATTGCCATCATCAACAGTTACTTTGATGACGGGAATTCTTTGTTTCAGACAACTTTGTTTCTTTTGGACTACCATAAAAGGTATTTAAGATGTACAAAAGAGCAAAGAGAGCAGGATTTTGAAGTGTTTTAATCAAAAGGGCCAACTGGCCACAACTGGGCATGAGAATAAACTGAAATTGGTAAACATATGTCACCAAACCTGCACTAATTTGAACTGGCTGAGGAAAAATCCTGCTGACTGCAGAGAAATTTTGGGTGCATAATTGAAGGCAAACAACGGCCCATTTTCAGTCACTGACCCTGACAGTTGATGAGAAACCCAAAGTTCTCGAGGGACACACCTCAATTTTGAGTATGAACAGCATTAATGTGCAGAGTTTATTAAAAAACAGTCAAGTTCAGTGCTCTAGGCACAACCCACGTGGAACCAGCAGCTACCTGCACTCTTGAAATTTGAGAATATCTAGTCTCATGCATGCAGTAATTTTAAATTAATGGGATTTATGGTTGTACTTATCCCACTTAGTTAACAGGAAAAGACTTATTTGTATACTGAAAGTTAAGCATGATTTAGGAAAACTAGAACTATAAATTTATACGTAACTGTGATGGCAGTTGCATGAGAAATTGCATTTGACGTTTCTGTGCTTTTTAAAAAAATATATGTTTCAAATGTTTTTCATCTCTCTTACTTTTCTTTAAAAGAGCCATTGTAGTGTTGGATGAGAACTGTGATCTGTGGTAAAATAAAACAAAAAAAAACAATTAAAAGAGGAAAAAAAAATAGAGAAAAATCATTAATGCCAGAAGTGAATACTAATTAGTTATTTCAGGGACAAGTTTTTGAATTATCAATTTTACTGCTGAACTAGTCAAAGTAAAACTGTATTTGATCTCTGTAAATACATTGCTTTTTTGGAACAAATAACTAATATTCTGGGCTAGAAATATTTCATATTTTAATTTAAGAACTAGCAGGTTGTAAAAAGCATTTTAACAAATTCCATCTGATCACCTACATCAGCGATAACTAACATTTTTAATACAGTTTAAAATAATGTGCAAAGAAGCATTAAATCACCCACTGATGCAATTTATAAATACATTTATCTCTAATTTCACCTAAAACATAGTAACTGTCACGAATACTGATCTCTTGCTGGAGTATGCTCACAAACATATGGGAATCTTATCTTGGAACAGTGTCTATCAGACTTGCAGAAAATTTCAGAACAATAGTAAAAATATTTTCTAGGAGCAGTATCCTTCCACAAACAGTAAGGAGGGAGTACGTGTAATGTACCCTAAAACTGTACTTCTAAGCCAGGCCCAAGAGCAGTCATGACCTTATGCCCGAGAGGACAGAACATAAACCCTAAAATACAGGATTATGGGAAATACATCATTTGTTTGAATTCTGGACCCAAACCTACTGTTTATGAAAAAAAACCCAAACCACAAAACCAAGACAACAACAAACAACCAACAGTAATAAAAAGCACCAGAAGCTGGAGGGGAGGGAACAAGACAACTGTGTGATCTAACCTTTATACTGTGTGATCTAACCTTTACACTGTGTAGCTGGATATAGGACAGAAAACAATTTTTCCAGTCACCACGCATACATAGGGACACATTACAGCATAGGTAAGGATAAATGGGGATTTCTATGCCACATAAAAATGAAATTTCGTCCAGCTCCTTGAGAAGACAGACGGAACAGCAGGAATTCTTGAAATCTGAGTCACAAAACTGACCACCTCTCATTGGTCAATGCTCAAGTTCAGGCAGCATCCTAAATTAGTCTCCACTTTGACCAACGACTTAAATGACAACAAAAATATGAAAAAAAATCTAAGATGTGGCTTTGTTTACAAACCACTTATGTAGTTAGGTCCCAACAGAAGACTAATTTGCAGCGAGAAAGGAGTCATTCTGGAAGTTTTTTCACATCTGCACTACTTATCTACATTCCAGCAGACCACTCTCTTCATGTGGCATTAATTTACACAGAGGAAATCAAGTTTATCTATCGGAAAAAAACACCACAGCTGAGAAAGCCCTTCTCTCACGCATTACACACAAGTACCATCTTCATATGCATTTAAAAACTTTACTCATTTAGGTAAGCAGAGAGGCAACAGAACCCCTACACTCTTGAAGTAACTTTCTAACCCCATTTAGCTAATCATAACCTTCCACTGATTTCCATAGAGCTGATCACTGTCTTTGAATTAGTATTTGTAATAATAGTCACAAACAGTCCTAATGATCACTGCAAGAGGAAAGCTGCATAGCCACAGCTTCACGGTATCCTCAGAAATTATTAAATCCACACAAACTGAATCATGTTTTAAGCTTTAAAATCCAAACTCAGACAGACTCCCAAGCAAGTTTGAGTTCTAGCACTACAGCATTCCTACGCCTCAGTAACACCGATTGATTACCTGCTGAGTTTTAAGAAACGAGAGGTATATTTGCTCCCCTACAAATATTTACTCATTTTTCCTGCCTGTAGACATTATTTCCTGGAACCTGGCAGTCCCTAAGTCAGCTGCCAAATCCTGTAACAAAACGAGGGGCTGCAGAAGGGAAAGCTCAGAAACAGTGACATTACTGCTCAGATATTTCCTGCTTAATTAGTCTTTTTACCTCTTCAAAGCAGCACAGTATTCGGGACTCCTCTCTTCTGAAGCGCTGAGGAGCTATTTACTTGGATCCTAGATAACCCACAGCTGTGAGCACTCTTGCCAAAGCCTCCTTGACCACCATCCTCCTTTGAAGTCACCCGCACAAGGGCCTTACAGGGCACAGTAACAGTTTTATGATTCAATTCCTTTTTCAGACTCTTCAAAGTTTACTTTGGAGTTGTGCTGGTTTTCTTTTCTTTCTCTGCTGCTGAGGAATAGCACGGAGTCCAGACGCTGCACTGGAGGAATGAGAGCCCATAAACCACTTCCAGATGTGCAGAACGATGATGCAGCCCCAGATCTGGCAAACTTGCCTCAGAGCTTCAGCTAGCAGATTGCAAACAAATCCCATAAGACAAAAAGTCTTAAAGGGGTGGGGGAAAGAGAAGGAAGCAAACCCTTCCAGAAGTTACTTCCAACAGTCTAGCTGCAAGTTAGGTTTCTAGTCATTATTTATGGTAAATGTGAACAGATAACTAGTGTGCAAGAGCCAAAATACAACATGCCAAAGTCAAACTGAAAGCCAAAGTTTTTCCAATGTCTGTTGGCAGAGTTCTTGCAAGTCAAAAGCTAAGGGAAACCCACAAAAATCAACTCTGAACATGCACTTTGACTTGAATCATCTCATTTCCAAATCTTTGAGCATTTAATCCACAGGTTTGGTTTAGATTCAAAAGGATCTCAGATGAAGGTTACCAGTACATGTTGATATCCTGCCTCCTAAGCTCTCTTGGAATGCTTTTGCTGTTCTATTTCTACAGCACCGCTTTTATTCAAATTCTCTCCCTCCCTTCTAGGAATGACCCTTCTATGTGATAAAATGTTGTTTTGTCACAAGATTTTCATGAATACTGAAAGGAATAATAATAAACATCTTCAACACTAAACTATTGTTCATATTTTTAGCATGAGGCAGTGCAAAACTTACAAGGAGTACTCAGTGAAGGTTTTAAAAATCTTAAACGTTCTATATGAAGATTGCTCTTCCATTTGCAGGAACTGAAAATATGGGGTTTCAACTGTATGTCTCAAACATGCCCAAACTGTATTATCTGTGTCTGATTTTGTACAGAAATTCATCTTTTGCAGAGCTGCTTGAAGGAAAAATAAACAAAGAGTTAAATATACAGTTATGTGCTTTGTGCAGATGGCCACAACTATTAGTACTTTTCCCATACTGTGGTATTTAAGCTGTATCAAGCTTATGTTTTTCAAAATCCACCTGTGTTTTTTCACCTCCCTTCCATTTCTATGTGAATCTGAACAGATCCAAGCAGCAGACAGCCACATGAGCCTGCGGAATTGGGACCAGATCCTTCACTTGACAGCAACCCCTGGATTACTGGCAACACAGTAGCACCTTCGCAGAATCACAGAATCAATTAGGTTGGAAAAGACCTCTGAGATCACCGAGTCTAACCTGCGACCGAACACCACCGTGTTGACTAGACCATGGCACCAAGTGCCACCTCCAGGCTTTCCTTAAACACCTCCAGGGACCATGACTGCACCACCTCCCTGGGCAGCCCATTCCAACGTCTAATTACCCCTTCTGTGAAGAAATTCTGCCTAATGTCCAGCCTAAACCTCCCATGGCACAGTTGAAGACTATATGTGGTATTTTAGAGAATACTGACAGCGCTCAATTATACATCTCGGCATAGCAATTTACTACGCAGAGCTCGATAAGGAGAAGAGGCTTTTTGTACCAGATACACCTTCTCTGGATTTCCCGCAGCCTCACACGTTTACATTCTCACATAACACCCTGCTCTCACAGGAAAGAGAGCAGCCTCTCTCCTGCAGAACGAGACCTTCGAATTCACATCACCCGCCGTCAACTGCAGAACCGAAACCTTGGTTTCTGATCTCAACCCTCAGCGCTTAAACAGCAGCTCATCCCTTTTCTCACATGCACGCCTCGCAGGCAGCAGCATTACGTCGCCAGTCAAAAAAACCTGTGAGTCTGCTACACGTTTCTGGGGGCTCAGGGGCAGAGCCGGGCGCCCCGGGCTGAAGAGCACACGCCGCACCAGCGGTGCCCCGGGTCGGCTTCCACAGGGCTCCCGCCAGAGCACGGCCGAGCCCGGCGGGTCCTCGGGGGCAGAGGGGCCGCGCTGACAGAGGGGCCGTGCCGACAGAGGGCTGCGGCGGAGGCGGCCGCGGGGCGGGACACGGGCGGGACACGGGCGGGCCGCGGACCCGCCGCCCTCACGTCAGCGCCCCCCCTTCCCCGCGGGCTGCCCCGACCGCGCGGTGCGTTGTGGGAGCGGCGCTGAGATGGCGGCGGCCGCCGCCGGGCTGAGCTGGAGGCGGGTGTCCTCCTTCACGGGGCCGGTGCCGCGCTCCCGCCACGGGCACCGCGCGGTCGCCATCCGAGAGCTGCTCATCATCTTCGGCGGCGGCAACGAGGGCATCGCCGACGAGCTGCACGTCTACAACACGGGTGCGCGGGGCGGGGCCGGGCGGCGGGGCGGGCGGGGAAGGCGGCGGGGCAGTCCCGGCTCCGGCCGGCGGTGGCACCGGGCCCCTCACGGCACCCGGGATCGCCCGCCGAGCCTCCCGCGCTCCCCCGGCTCGGCCGAGGGGGCGGCGGGCGGGCTGAGGAGCTGCCTGGAGGTGAAATGGCGGGACGGGAAATACGCCTGGGCCATGAGGTCTTCCCTGGGATAGCGCTACGCCCCGGCCGGTGCTGCGGCGTTAGTGGGCCTTTCTGGGGAAAAGGAACCTGGAAAATCTCTTGATACGCCTGTTGTGCTTTCCCAGCCCCTGGCGCGGGGGTGCGGAGTCTCCCCTGGCAGGGCTCGGCTGAATGGCGGCAGGCGGGATTAGTCCCCGCCAGTGTCCGGATCCCCCTTCTTCCCTCTGGTGGCGGCAGCTCACGAGAGCTGAACGCGCTGGAATAGGAATCTTGCTTGGAAAAGTGAACATGCTGGCATTGGGAGCCTTTCCAAACAGGAAGCTGCCCGAGACCGATTTTATTTGTGAAGGATTAGATGCCTAAATAGTTACTGTACGGGATGCTGAATGAGGCTGGAAAACTTGCGTGTAGTGTTAGAGCTTGGGCCGAGACGGGAGAGTTCAGTGACTGATCCGTGCTTCTCAATCTGCCAGTGTTAGCTGATCGAGTTTTTCCAAGCAGATTTTTCTCTGATATCTTAAAGATCTACTATTCTTAATCACATTTTTGGGGGGAGAAGAAAAAAAATCTCTTAACCTTTCTGTTCTGACAAGTAATCCCAAAGAAAACTCTCAGACAGTACAGTTATGCTGTCTGTCAGAACAAAGGTTTTGATGCGTACCTTTTGAGTGAGTCTTTTGGGTTTTTTTCCTGCCCGGATTTTCTGCTAAAGGTGTTTCCCCTTCATAGCAGCGACAAAAAGGATCGTGACTCAGTTGTTCCTGTTCCTGGACGAGTGCTTGGCCCAAACTGACCTTTTTTTCTCTGGGGTTTAAGGTGCAGGGTTGTGACCCAGGCTGCCCCAGTGTGGGATGCCATCCGTGGCTCTTGCTATGCGTGTGATGACTTCCAAGGAGCTGGCACACAGTGAGCATCTTAATCTGCTGCAGCAGTGTTCACTGGAAGCTTCTAATTTCATATTTTTCCTCTTCATGCTCATGAAAAAAGCTTAGGATAAAGAAGACAGTGTCTCCCGTAATTCTTTAATTCCAGAGCAGTTTAAACACCAGTATGCTGCTGCTGGATCAGACTGTCTCAGCTGCTCTTTCTTGCCTGTGTGCCTCTCCTCTCCCATGTATCAGTGCAGCGTTCCGTGGATATTAACATGGGTCCCAGAACAGTGTAATTAGTTTTTGAATAGGGCTATTAAGTCCAGGCACACTGCCATGCTGCTGTAGCTCTAATAATTCTGTTTCTAGGGCTAGCTCCCTCTGAGTTAGCATAGTTATCTCTCTTCTGTAGAACTGCACTTGTGTTCCTCATTAGCCTCTATTCTTGGCAAGCCTGTTAAATTGCTGGGTGACCCTTCGTAAATGACTTAGTTACAGTGACCTCATGGGTTCATTCATACTGAGTAACGTTGGTTTGATACAGGTGTTTGCTTTCCTTTTTATTAAAAAAACCCCTCAATTAAAACTTAGTGTTAAGCAAATAGCCCATTCACAGTTATCTACAGGTAAAAAGTAATGCTCTAAAAAGCAGAGGTGTTTAAAAACACACTTTTCAGTGTTTTAAATATTTTTCTTCTTTTTTTTTTTTTTCTCTACTATAGTTACAAATCAATGGTTCCTTCCTGCTGTAAGGGGAGATATTCCTCCAGGCTGTGCAGCACATGGATTTGTTTGTGATGGTACCAGAATACTAGTTTTTGGAGGAATGGTTGAATATGGAAGATACAGTAATGATTTATATGAATTGCAGGTAGGAAATGTATGAAAATGTTTCAGTTTTGAGGACTACTATATTTATCTGTTTATGAACAAACACATTTTATTTTACCAACTGCAGAAGAAACTTAGATAAGCTTTGCTCTGCTCCAGGAAGAATAAACTTTAAATAGATTCTGAAGATGGAGAAAATCCAAATGCCTTTGAAAAAGAGACTTCCATGTAGTCTAAATAAAGTATAAAATATTTAGTCTTTTATTTAAGTAAGCTCATATGTGTCCCTTTTAACATATGTCCTGAGAAAAGCCCAGCATTCCTTTAAAAATAGTTCAGAAAACATAAGACTGTTAACATTACCTGAATTCTGTTTACTGTGAGTGACTATAAATGAAGATATTTCTGAACATATTTTTCTTGTCTTCAAGGCAAGTCGATGGCTCTGGAAAAAAGTAAAACCTCAAGCTCCTTCCAATGGATCACCACCCTGTCCTCGACTTGGCCATAGCTTTTCTTTATATGGTAACAAGTGCTATTTGTTTGGTGGCCTGGCAAATGAAAGTGAAGATTCAAATAATAACGTTCCCAGGTATGCTGATTTGCTTTGAATTTAACGGCTTTAAAGACAAATGACTGGATGTGACAACTTTGAGCAGGAACATTCTAGTCAGGCTGTTGTGTGTACCAGGTACCTGCAGATGGATTATTTGTGCAGTGGATGGGTTACATGCGAAGAAGCTTAAATATTTCTTCTGCTAACCCCACAATATGTAACACTGACTGACAGCTCTGACACTTATGTAGGCAAACCTGAGTAGACTTTGGTATTTTTCCTAGTACTCTGGGTGATGATTTTAAGAATGGCTTGTTTGTTAGAATTACTTGAATCAGCCAAGTCTCATGAGTCATCAGGGAATTCACGATGGATGTTTCCTCTATATTACTGTGGAAAATAGTTATGAATTCATTTGGAAATTTTTTACAGTAACAGCTAAAGTTGCCTTTGTTGCCAGCAAACAGTGCTCTAATGCTCCAGTTTTAGATCCACATTCACCTGCAGTTCAGAGCAGTAATATCCACTGAGCTATAACCTGGCAGTTTTAAGCTCAGTAAACAAGGGGTACGTCATGTGAATGCCAAGATTCAAAAACAGTTATCTAAAAAATAACTTGCTGATAGATTCAGCAACAAATGGCTAATTGTCTATTGGCCAGCCTGAAGGCACAAGAAAAAAATAGCTTCTTCTCACCTTTATTGCTTTGGAGTTGCAGAAATTCATCTCTAATGTTTCTGGTCATCATGTTATTTCTCACAGCTTTGCAGTTTATTCCAAGTGTGTCCGTATGTAGTAATTTCTGCAAAGAATGTTGTTTACCCCTCTTGAATGTTTCCTTCATGTAATACAGTGTAGCAAATATGATATGAGAGCATGTTTCCTTAGAGGCAACCAGTTATAATTGTTCAGGTTTTTTGTTTAAATCCAGTTTTGGTACTGTCCACAATGCATCAAATGTTTTGAGAGTTTAAAACTCTACACTCTCCCAAGACAGAAGTCTGTGATACTTGGAAGGGGTTGGGGTTTAAAGCGCACTTGTAATCGTGCTTGTAAGTGAATTTTTCATACTTTTGACAATAATACCCTAGATATTTAAATGATTTCTATGAACTGGAGCTGCAACACGGTTCTGGCGTTGTTGGCTGGAGTATTCCTGTGACCAAAGGAATCTTGCCATCTCCCCGAGAATCTCACACAGCCATCGTATACTGCAGAAAAGATGTGGGAAGTCCGAAGATGTATATTTTTGGAGGGATGTGTGGCTGTCGGCTTAATGATCTCTGGGAACTTGACATAGGTGAGTTGATTTGCCAGTAGAAGTCCGTGCTCACTTGCTGAGAGGAAAAATTACAGTATAGAATGGTTAATGGCATGATGTGGTACAGATATTATTGAGTCTAACACCATAGTGCTAACCTCTTGTAATTTCTGGAATGAAATAGATACAGCATTGTTTGCATATATTGTCCTCGCTGATTATGGGTGAGATTGTTTCTTTAGAGAGTTCTTTAGAGTGGTTATCACTATGATAACCAAGCTGAATAACCATAATGGAACCATAATATATCTTTCTGATAAACATTGTATTCCTTCCTGTTTTTTAAAAGAACCTCTAGGGGCTTGTTATTGTGCTTCTTTCTTAAAGTTGCCATCCGAAAAAGATGAAGTTTTGTTTTGCTTAATCTTAGAGGTATGTTCCCTCCTAAAATCCAGGGAGTGAAATATGCGGTAACAAGGTTTCTGTGAGGATTTTTTATTTTTTTTTCTTTTAGAAACCATGACCTGGTCAAGACCAGAAACCAAAGGGACAGTACCACTTCCTCGCAGTCTCCATACGGCCAATGTAATAGGAAACAAGTATGTCTGTTGTTAAAAGCTCAACTCTAGAAAGGTACACCTAGTAGGAGAATGATGACACTTATCCACTACTGCTCAGTATAAACCATCAGCCCTGTAGAGTACTTTGCTGCTGCTATTTTAAGTACCACTGTTAACTTAAGGGTATCAAACTGTCAGTGTTTCCATCCAGCAGAACAATCTGCCCAGCCTTCAAGCAGCTTTCCAGGCTTCTTAAAGCACCTTTGTGCATTCTGGTGACCTGGGCCTGAGCTGGCTCTGTCAGGAGTGAGCTCGAGTGCCTCTGTGTCTGTGACACAAATGAAATTAGCTATGCAAAAAAACTGCTCAAAGAGTAAAACTAGTTCTAGGCAAAACTATTCCACGCTTTTTCCGTATTCTGTTTCTCATTACTCTGCTTCTTACCAATGTAGTTTGTTTTGGCAGATAGCATTGATAAAATGGATTTTTAAACATGGGTTTCGGTCTGTTTTATATCAATTTACAAGTGGGCATGAGGAGAAAGAGGCAAGGGGGAAAAAAGATGTGCAAGCTTTGTATCTAATGATTCAGTAGGTTAGTTTTTGATTATTTACTTAACATGTCAGTAGTTTGTAGCCTGCATTATATTTTTAAATTTTGATATCTGACTTAGATACCAGTCTTCTTATTTTAGTTATTGAGAAGTCTGCAGTAAAGGATTGTAGAAATACTGTGTAAAAGTGTGATTTTCTGAGAGCATTAGCAGTTTGGTGGCTTGTAAGAAGTGACAGTATTAACTTCTGTTTCTGGAAAGTCGTTTGAGGAGTTTATGGGATTTTTTGTTTGGTTGAGTTTTTTAATCAGTTAACTTACTCAAAAATTTCAGAAGGTGGATGTCTGCAACAGTACTTTATAATGAGAGTAGATTCAAATAAAATTTGCTGTAAACCAGAACTGTAAAGCACTGGGAATTTTCTGTTTCGTCCTAGTTTGAGAGAGCCCATGCAGCAGATCTGGATATTAATTGTCTTTTCTTTTCTTTTTCCCTCTTCCCTCTTTTCCTATATTTCAGAATGTATGTTTTTGGTGGCTGGGTTCCACAGTCAGCAGGAGGTGAAATTTCTTCTCATGATGGCGAATGGAAATGTACCGGTTCATTTTCTTACCTTAATTTGGGTTAGTGTTTCTGCCTTTCTGGGAGTGGGCATTTTAAATGATACTTTATTAACAGAGTAGAGTAACTATTTTGAAGACCCTGAGAAAAGTTTAGGATACATAGCTGTAACACTAGGGGACTAAAGAAGTTGCCGGGTTTTTACATCTTTCTTGAGAAGTGATATTTTAATAATTGTTTTTCTTGGAAGATTCTGCAGGTTTGCTTCTGCAAATCTTTGTTAATACAACTTTAAGTAATTTAAATACTCCTTCATTTATAGAAGAACACAAGAGACAGATCCTGAAATGATATTTTTCTAAACATGATAGTACTATCCCTGAATCCTCAACTTCTGATTTTGTATTTGCCCGAGAGAGATAACCAGAGGTCAGAAAATTCATCCTGTATTAATTGATTTAACTTGCATATTAATTGGAAAGTGACCTTCTCTTTGTAATATTTCAATTTTAAATGCAATTGTCTGTAAAAACAGAATTGATTTATTTACATTTTTTTCTGTGCAGTTAAGCATACTAACATCTTTATTTCTGGCTTTGGAAAACATCTAGAAACTAAATTTTTCGAGTTTCATTTACTAGATACCACAGAATGGATAGGTCTGATCTCAGATTGCCAGGAGGACAAAAGTAACTTGTTCCCAGGGCCAAGAGCAGGACACTGCGCGGTAGCGGTTGGCACTCGTCTGTATATCTGGAGTGGGAGAGATGGTTACAGAAAAGCTTGGAACAATCAAGTCTGCTGCAAAGATCTTTGGTACCTTGATACTGGTGAGTCAAAAATAAGAAACTTGCACTATGTTCCGTATTTTATTAACATCTGGGAAGCTTGCATCATGGATGATCAGAACATCTAAGCTGTAACAATCTCAAAGATTATTTCAATTTTAAAGATTATTTTAAAAAACATGCTTCGCTTTTGATTGTTCAAAGGCTACAGCTGTAACTTAAACTGAAAAAATTGGGAAGGCTTGTTTAGAGCCTCTGAAAGAACTTTGTGGCTAGATTCTGCATTGCATCCTATAGTCAGTTGATACAAGGTGCTAAAGGGTGTTTTGCCTGAACTCAGGGTTCCTGACCTCTCCTTTTAGTGATCTTTTCTGCTACTATTTACTCCTTCCTACCAAACTCTTCCTTCTCTTGGGATCATTGCTGCTGCTGCTTTCTCATCTTTTGGACTGCAAAATGATACTATTGAATCTGAAAAAGGACCAAATTGTTCCTGGGGATGAAGGGAATTCTGGAGCACTAATCACTCATTAGTAGCTGGATTAATGGCAGGACGCTGAGATGGTACTGGGGAAGAGGGGACTAGAATGGAACTTTTGGGAGCGAGTTGTTGCCTATTGAAGCAGAAGTATGGAAGTTGTTATTGGAGATTGTGAAATATTTAGGAGATAGTGAGGTGGGGGTTTTTTGTTTGTTTGTTTTGTTTTTCTTTTCTTTTTTTATTTTTCCCTCAGAAGATCAGAAAATGAAAAAAGTAGCAGGGGAGGGATATGCTTGAGAGTGCAGCCTAGTCAAGGCAAGTGAGAGGAGCAGGCCAGTGGCATCAGTCATGTCTAGGCTTCAGTCTCTGCAGCAGTTTGAAGGAAAGCTCACTTTAGTTACAGAGAGCATGCAAAAAGGAAGAGGGATCTTCTGTGAATTCTATTGAGGAATATGTAAAGCTTTAGGGGCCAAAGAGCTACCTGCAGCCTTTTGGGAAAGCACAAAGATCTCTTATCTCTGTAATTTCTACAGTGACGTAGCTGTAACTCGAAGTCTTACTGGCAGCAGAAGAGCCCTTGAAAATAAAACGTGAAAACTTGAGCATTTTTGAGCACTCTAACATGACACTACGTAATTCTCTGACTTGTCTTGCCACCTTTGGCAAGGGTTTCTTGTTGAATCTGGTATACCTTGTACATCAGTGGAAAAGGAGCTACTGATGTTACTCACAATGTATAGATATTTAACAAGCTGATTAAGGGAGGGCCATTTCTAACATGCCATCTGTGTTTTATTGGTTTCTTGTAGAGAAGCCCCTAGCACCATCACAGGTACAGCTCATTAGAGCTACAACCAACTCTTTTCAGTTGAAATGGGATGAAGTTCCTACAGTTGAAGGATATCTTCTTCAGTTACACGCTGACTCACCAGTGCCACCGGTGGCTGGAATTCCCGTTACTGGTGTTCCTGAGACATCCGTGCTGAGTTCACAAGGTAATGAAGATCTCACAAGTCAGATCACATTATGCTAATGTTTGTGCACAGGCAGACTAGAGTATTGCATAAGTATTTGATATGAGTTTGTTTTTTAAAGAACCATTTTTTGCGAGAGAGAGACCCTATTTCTTTGGTTATTCCCAAAATGCCTGCATTGTGATTATGTAAAACTTCACTTTACCTTGTTTCTGTTGATTTTGGTCAGCTGTCTGAATTATGAAGATATTTGTACAGTGCTGGGCACGATTTGAGAAAGGAAACAGTGAGAAAGGGATTTTATCTGACTGTTTGACCATGCAGTTTCATTTCAGATTTACAACAAAGTTTTCCTTCAGGAAACTTTGGGTCTCCCTCTCCCTTACTGGAATAGATTCCAACCAACACAGTATTAAATTTTACATAACTGATGGGGATTTGTTTTTGTTTACCTGCTAGGTGGCTGTTCTCTACATCAAAATCCACAACCATTGCCTAGCATGCCTTATCCAGAACTGAAGGTTGATCATCCTAGCCAAACAAATAATCTCATTCCTAATAATGTAAGTGTTAAACTGAAAAATGCATGAGTGGCAAAGTAGTGTGGGAAGCTAGAGGACTGCCAGAACACTTCCTCAGTTTTAAAAGTCCTTGCATAATTTTTGGGCCTTAGGAAAAAAAACCCGAATCAAACAAAAAGACACTTGCTAAAGTAGTTGTGTCTGTTTTCTTATGTAGCTTTTACTTTTATGATTGTCAGACAGTCTTTCAAGTCCTCTTCCTGGCAGAAAGGAAACTGCAACTGTATTGACTTCCAGAATGCTGACTTGGGAGCCTTATACCAGTAGAAATACTATTCATCCTTAAAATGTTGGTGAAATTAATGTGGAAAGCATAAAGAATAAGGCATATTCCTCCTTTGTTAGTGCTTTTATGCTAGTCTGCTTAGTTGTAGGTTCTTACTACAGATTAAACCCAATTATTATCTGTTCTGTTTGTACACTTGTACACATTCCACTGTTTTGCCAATTCAACAGAAAGAGTGAGGACAAAGGCTGGCTAAAGGATCACATTTTTGTAATTTTGCACCTTTTCTTAAATGAGAAAAGTCTTAGATCTGTATGGGATCCATAATGTATTCCTGGAGAAAACACATGTAGATATACTATAAATTTCACTAGCAGTAGAAGTATCTAAAGTACATGCCAGGAAAGCAAAAGTTGAAAGCCTCTGTAATTGTGATTTTCCCCATCTCCTCAAGTCCCCCCAGTAGACTAAATATGTGCATCAATGAACTTCCATGTAATGACAAAAGAACGTGAGCTCACTGTCAGATAAAATTTAGTATCTATCAGAGACATGTCCAGGTCAACTCAGAGTTTGAGTTTTTGTTTTTTAATGGTTTCTTGGTTTAATTTAGAGTACTAGGGAATTGTTGGAGGAGTTTAGTTTGTTGCTTATGAGTAAGCATTTTCATGCCATGTTTGCAGCTGAAATTTCCCAACTTTGCAGTTAAACACTAACAAATGTGTTGTTTTGCTTAGGTCCAAGTTTCCCTTTCATCCAACTCATTATTGAAAGTAGAAGGAAAAGAAAAGGTTGCAGCACCTGAAAACAAGATTACACAGGAGACTATGAAAAACCACACAGATGCTACAGGATTCAAAGAATCAAATGCCCCTTCTCTTTTGCCTGTTTGTACTTCAAGTAAGATGACTGTAGAATAAAAATTAATTGAAAAGACAGAGTTAAAATTCATCTCATAAACATAAAATAAGATTATTTGTCTTGTAATTTAAAATTATTTTAGATTCCTTTGTAGTTTAAAAAAAACCAACTTGTGTTAGTTATTACCGAACATATTTTTAGAAGATACAGGGAAAAATGAAATCCTAAATTATTTGAAGTGTTGCAAGGGACGTGAAATTCTCAATATATTCATTATTATGATGGCAAATGTGTCTAAACATAAGTAGCCATTTTTAACATAAAAAAAAAGGACAGATACATTTTACAACATCATGGTGATAGTAACTCCAGACTCTCTGACACTGTGTCTGTTAGCAGTGAAAAGCTATAATGTAAAATTTCAGGCAATGTAGAGAGAAGCGTGTTTCTCTCTGACTGTAGAGGAAATAGAAGATGACAAGGCACTGATGTAGGCATTTCACTGAAGTGCCTTAAGGTCAGTGTGGTGAATCCAGGCTCAGTCACCTGATCTGTTTATATTTGACTTTCATGTACTTTATGGGTTGTTGGATTTTTATTTTCTTCACAGTGTAATTTAAGTATCAGGTGGAAATTTTGGTTCTTAGTGCTAAGTGAGAAACAAAATTCCACGGGGGTTAATCTTGATTGTTACAAATCTGCGATACTGATTTGTGTGGATGCTTTATTTTAGTGGTTTTTCCCCAAATTAATCCTTTTGTAACAAAATAAATATAGAATGGCAAGCTTCAAACAACTGTTTACATGTGTCTGTTTATGACTGTGCAGACAGACTTTAGTTCAGTTATATACCTAAAGAAAGCACTGGTAATCAATATGATCAGATCTATTCTAACCTAATTCTGAGCTAAACTCAGGCTTCATAGGAAACTAAAGCCATTAGATCAGGTTGAGATTTGTTATGTGTTATCAGTATTGATTTCTGGTTAATATTTTCTCTTTTTAAGGTGCTCAGACATCAGCAAATGTAGGTGAATTACATGACTTGGACAAACAAACTGTAAATCCTGATGCTTCTGTATCCAGTACTGTCTCCAGCACACAAACTATGGTAACCCAGCAGGCTGTTAAAACTGAATCATCAAGTACAAATGGGGCAGTTGTTAAAGATGAAACTTCACTAACAACATTCAATTCAAAATCTGAAGGTTTGAAATGTGTTTCACATACTGTATTTTGAGCCATATATATCTAAGGCCATCAGAGTTCCCTTAGTGTGGTGGGATTCCCATCTTGACTAGTACCTGGGATGTAGATAGGCTTTGGGCATTGAAGACCTTGTGCAGCCTGGATGATCTCTGCTATGATTTAAACATCTTTTAAAATCAGGATATTCCTTTTATACATCTGTAAATCCCTGTTTTTCTTGTAAGTGAAAGGTCCTTTAAAGTCTTCATTTAAGGTCCATTTTCTAAATAGCAGTGGTAGCCAGTTTTGGTGCCCATTGCACATTTGCTTTCGTTCAGTGATTGTGAGTCAGCAAAAGACTAAAATAGTAACCTTAGATGATTTTGATTTTAAGCAATTGACCTTTCACAAATATGTCCAGTTAACATGGCTAGCTCACCGCTAGTCAAATGTGCTGGCCTCTTCACAGTCTGCTTGAAATATCCAAAATAAGCAGCAAAGCAGAAAATAAACATATGGGTAGTTTTTCGAGTTTTGTTTTTCACAAATATCAACAGGCTGTGCTTGTTATTGTTTTGATTGTTAACTAAAGAACTGTATTCTTATATTGATGTTACGTGTGTAGTATAACTTTTACCAAACAGTACTGTATTTTAAAAGCAAAACCCAGAAACACAAGTATAGAATACTAATATTCCCTTGTGTTGCTTGTGTGCTTAATCTTTTTTCTTTTTTTAATATTCCATTTTAAATTCAATGAATGCTCTGTTCCCATTTGTTAGGATTGTTACAGATTAACTGCTCATGTTCAGATTCAGATTGTATTGATGTCAGAAACAATGCAATCAAATTAAGATTTCACACTTAGACTATTCATACAGTGTCATCAGTTTGTGCCTCAATCTGGTATTTAGATTATTTGCTTGCAAATATTTTATATGGATTTCATAATTCTGTTCTTATTTAGGATTTTCTGCCTTCTGTTTTTATTATCTGTAGCAGCCTCCAATGCCAGACTCTCAGAATTGTTCTGTGAATAGGACAGAAGCCAAAATTAGTTGTTTGTGTTATAAATAGAACTGCATGCAAAAGGAGTCTGAGAAGGACTTGTGCAACAAATACTTGTAAATGGCTATTGAGGTCAACTTCCATATTCTGTCGATTTTGTGTTCAATTTTCTGTATCACTCAAGCTTTTTAAATTTAACTTTTTGTTTTTAGCTGCTGAAACTGCTTATATCATGCCTTCAACAAGGGTCAGTACTGGACAGACAAATGATTCACACTCCTCTGTAAGTCTGAAAAAGTATAATCAAATTTCTGTATCTGTTGTTCTGTTGATTAGTTGTAAGGGCTCTTCTGTTTGCTTTTCTTTCAGAAATATAATTAAAGGAAATGTTTATTTAGGGCTTGAAGTGAATAATACAGGGGTAAACATTTCTGTTGTAAAACTAATTGCATTGTGTGGGTTTGATGTGAGTCTAAGTAGCAGTTGTGTAGTTGGGAGGAGATCCAAGTATGTGTTTCAGCTGTTGAATCATTTTTATTGACTGGCACAGTGGAATGGTCTCTCTGCTGCATGATGTGCAAATGTACAATGTTTTTCTGTATGCACAGTTGAATTGAAAATGAAGTATGTATTAGATCAGACTATTGTTAGCTGCTGATCTATAGATTTGAAACGTTACTTAACTGACATCTTGATGTTTTTCCCTAGAGGAGATGGGGACTGGCTATGCAAGCTGTAAATACTGCCTGAAAAAGTAAATGCTTCCTATTTCACCTGCTTACAACTTAATACACAAAACCAAGGTGCCACTGTTGCCACCAAAAGCGAGGAACTAAGGATGGGGAGAAGCAGCTGCTACCTAAAGGGTTGGGGTGCTTTTGCCAAGAGCAGCTGCGGTTCCTGCCCCGTTTCCGTGCCAGCAGGATCATGGCCTGTCTGTGCTGGGCACACTGACTGTGCAAGTGCTCTCCCTGGTGTCTGGAGACAAGCAGGAAAGACAGTTTGTCTTTCTGGGTCAGTCAGGAACAGTTCACACACCCTCCACCACCATCGCCCCACGCCGCAGCAGAGGCCTGTTCTCAGCTGCCGGCGAGTTCAGCAGTGGCTGAGGGAGAGCATGTTTGGGGCTGAGATACAGCTGATTCCCAGGGAGAGCTGCTGATGTTGGACCACTCTGTGGAACTTCTTGACCTCTGAGCCAAATTAACTCGCAACTACATGCTGCTACAGACACCTAGTTCTACAGCTTTAAACTTCTTCCCCTGCCTGTTTAGAATATCAGATGTGACATCCCAGCTGTTGCCTTTTAAATGACAGACTGTGTCTGAGTCAATGTTTAAGAACCAGTTGGTTTTGAACACTGTTTTAATAGTATATGCATATCCATTTGAAGTATAAGAAAGTAACACTGGTTTAAAAGGGGGTTGTCTCTCACATATACTAGAGTCTTAACACTTTTTTACATTACTCTGAAGTCTGGGTAATCCACATAACATGTTCTTCAAATACTAGAAAACTCCACAAAGACCGATGGCACCAGTGAAAGCAAGAGACCGTCGATGGTATGATGTTGGAATTTTTAAGAACAACAGTGCTGTGGTGAGCCAGTTCTACTTGCTGCCAGAGGAAACACTGAACATTTCTAACAAGGTACTTGTTGATTCTCCTCTGACATAACTTGCACATAAAATCTTTTGGGACCTGTTGCTATTGTTAATTCTTTTCTTATTTCTAACCTTAAGAAAGAATTTTAAACTCAATAAACTTTCAAGCCAGTAAAAATTCTTAAAAACTAAAAAACCCACAACTTTTTTAATATGTCACTTTGGTACAGCATTGAAATGTTTCAAAGTTTCTTCTCTTTTCCCAGAATTGTTGCCTAAAAATTCTTAAAGATACTAATAAGACATAGGCTAGGCTGTTTAAAGACTAGATCTGGAACTGTAGTGGGTTTTGTATTAGATCTTTCTATCTTAATGTTTTTGTACATGTAAATTGATATATGAAAATACATGTGAAACTTGCAAAGGTGTTGCAGGTTTGATGACAAAAGTGTAAATTAATGATGTCTTAGTGAACTTGAAACAAATATCGTATTTTGTTTTCGTGAGACAGAAGAAAAATAACAGAACCCTCTCTTTGAAAGCACTTCAGTATAAATATTGTATATCTTTAAAGAGCATAGTACATTTTACAGTGTTTACATTGGTTGTATTTCTTGTACATTATTCAGAAGGCAAATAGTTCCATTGTAAGTTTTAGTGATGGATCAATGCATATTTTAATCATGGAAGTACAGTGGCACAAAATGTTTCAGAAACCTATTTGTTACTGTCTTATAGAGCTTTTCTTTAAAAATATTTTGATTACCTCCACATCAATTTGCAGCTCCTAACTACAGGAATAACTGTTTTTGAAATAAAAATATTTTTTAGGACAGGAGATTATGCTAACTGAATCATAAGTTATGTAATTGTAAATGCTACTTTGCTGTTACTTTGCCGAGTAAAAATAACCACAAGGTACAGTTTAATTTAAATGATTGAAAAAGTGGGGTATTTTTTTGGTTTAGAGATACAGTCTTTCACATTGCATCTTAGATCACCTGTTTTGAGGTGAGATAGTGCCCTCAGTCAGAACCTTTTCGTAAATTCTCATTTAAGTACGAAAGTATTAGGTAGATTTTCAGTTTCAATTAAACTTAATTTATTACTACCCACCTTACTTTTTTTAGGCTAATTGTGTTTAGAATATTTTAAAAATTAACTCAAATGTTGCTTTCTTTTCAGATGGAAGGTGCAGATGTACCAGACTACAGATTACTGAAGAAACAGGATCTTTTTCCAGGCACAGTGTACAGGTTCAGAGTTGCTGCAATTAATGGCTGTGGTGTTGGGCCTTTCAGTAAAATCAGTGAATTCAAAACTTGCATTCCGGGTTTTCCTGGAGCTCCTTCAACAGTCAAAATCACCAAGGTGAGAAATAAATGTAATTCTAGTTCCGATGTATAAAATTCTTTATACATCAGTTTAATCTCAGAACTCTTGGGTTTATTTGGTTTGTTGTTGGGGTTATTTTTAAGTTAAAATTGTCATATAAAATAGTTTCAAATACTTACTTAACTCTGCTCAATGTAATATTCTTTAAGAAAATTGCTAAAAATAATAATTTTAAGACTTACTGATTATGTTACCAGATACATGTCTTATTCAGTCATCTGATGGTTTACCCGTGATTTTCTGTTCATTCATCCTTAAATCTGTAGGGGTTTACCATGCTTTTAAAAAAAAAAAAAAGTCAAAAGATACATCCTTATCTCCAGAGGGATGATGTTTAGGTTAGAATTCTCAGATAATCTTTAGAATTTGGGGGGTTTTATTTTTATATTGTTTATATATTTATGGTTAGCTACATACTATCACGTTTTTCTCTCTTTTCCTTCAGAGTGTAGACTGTATTCATCTTTCTTGGGAGCCTCCTGCTTCACCCTCTGGAAATATTTTAGAATATTCTGCCTACTTAGCAATCCGTTCCACACAGTTACAGGAAAATCCAAGTCAACTTGTATTCATGAGAATATACTGTGGTCTTAAAACATCCTGTATAGTGACTGCTGCCCAGCTTTCCAATGCTCACGTTGACTACACTTCCCGACCTGCCATAGTGTTCAGGATTTCCGCAAAGAACGAGAGAGGGTACGGACCGGCCACGCAAGTCCGGTGGCTCCAAGGTAAAGTCTTGAAATGTTCTTTTGTTCCTTACAGGAGCTTTATGCAAATATAGTTGTTGAAGTTGTCTTTGCATTTAAAAAAAATAAAAAAAAAAAATTAGATTTGTTCACAAGCAAAACCAAGCAAGTTTGTTGGTCATTGAGTCTTACCCGCTCCCTAAAACTATAACAGCCTAGGAAGGTTCTGACTTCCCTGGGCTTCACTTCAGCTCAAAAATTTTTCCAGTCTAATAAGCAATCCATTTACATGCATGTGTGTAATCAGGGGGTGTTTTTCAGTCTTTTCACCCTCCTTACTAGAAAAAATTTTCATTAGATGATGTAAGGTGCAGTTTTGTGATGCTTACACACTTTAAAGTCTGTATTACAGCCAGAAGAGGTTTTGTCATCTTGTCCCTGCGCTTGAATTTGTACAGGTTCATGATGACCTAGGGATGGGAGTGGATTCACTGAAAATAAACATTAGTTTTAGCCTGATCAGTTCTGGCTCACCTTAGAAGTCAGCCACTCCAGAGGCTCTAAACAAGAACTTTTGCTGTCTTCCAAAATGTTTAGTATTCCAGTGCTGTTTTAACCCTTTAACTGGCAAGGAGTTTGACCATGATCTGTACCCCAGAACTCTGAAAAAGCAGTTGTTTGAAAGTGTTTGACCATGTACCCCACGTGAAATTATGAAGCATTTAACAATGTCTCCTCCTTTTTTCAGATATGAAAACATCAGGCTCAAAGTAGTGTTGCTACTCTCAAAGCCATCAGTAGAAACAACGTAATAAATCTCCAGTTTCGAATGTAGTGTTTAATGTAACTCTTGTACTATTTGTAAATGCTACAAATATTTTATTTTTGCATTGTTTTTATCTTAAAAATATATAACCTTTTTTACGTTTGACACATCAGCGTTACACAGCCTTGCTCAGGTATATGAGTACCGTATAGAAACTATATTGAAGATGGTGGGGTGAAGGATCACACCCTATCCAGTAGCTCTTTTTGGCAGTGATAGTTAAAATGTAAAAAATACACACTTCCAAATTAAAAACAAAGAACAAATTTGGCACAAGCAGCAGTATTTGAGGTAGAGTCCCCATTATTGCTTCGGATCTTGCACAGATAATTCATAAGATTTGGTATAAGAGCAAATTCTATTTGGTTTTGGTTCCTTATACCACATTCTTCGTTGTGGTGTCTGAGTACAAGGCAAAAATTTCCAGTTATTATATAGTAACTTAAAATGTATAAATATTTTAATATATACTTTTTTTGTAAAGAAATGATTTTTTCTACTATTTGTAACAAATATCTTAATCTTGAAAGATATCCCCCGAAAATTTAAAAGGAAAAAGAGAAACTTATCCATTGCTCTTATTACAAAAAACATAAATTCAATGTAAATGCACTACTAATATTTAGAATTATCCTTTTGTAGTTGTACAAATCTTGAACTTGTAAATACCAATGTTTACAAGAGACCTTTCTGGTCTTGTATGAAAACTTCCATGAGATTCATTCTTTTTTTTTTTTTTTTTTTTTTTTTAATAAATCCATATGCTTTGCTTTTAGCATATGCTTGCTTTTTGCACTAATAATAACTTACCTCATTCCTGTGTTTGTAATCACTTGTGTTGCTTCCATAATGTTTCTGTAAAACTTCAATCTGAAAATTTTAACCAAAGTTTAGAATACATGGTAAGCAATTTTGCACATATTATATGGCAACTTTCAACATATTTATTCCAGTTAATCTTCTTAAGTGCTTGTTTGCTTTACCAATATATTCTACCAATCAAGTTCAGTATCTCCCTTTTACTATGCATCATTTTACATTAACTAGCTAGCTGATAAAATCAACAAGCATTACTTCTAGGAATAGGTTGATCCATTCCTATGCTAAAAGAAAAAATTTGTTCACAGTAGTGAAATAAAGGTAAACATTTTAAATGCTATTTATATATCTATATGTAAACCTGTGTTTACCAAAGTGTAGAGGAAAATGGCTGAGTTGGACAAGGTCACTAGGTGAATAGATTGAGGCACTTAAATAAGATTTATTTTAAAATAAAATCTAAATTATTTACTGTGCAATGAAGTTTATACTTTGCACTTTAATTTTGCCCCAAATGCCAAAAGACTATACATCAAGGTAGAATTTCTTGCCTCTTCCAGTTAAATTTGTCTTAAGAGCTTTTGTAAATATATAAACTAAAATAAATTATGTGCCTGGTTTGGTGGGAGAAGTATCACTAAAATATTAGAGATTTAACAGCTCAAGTATCCCAGAGCAGATTTAATAGCCAAGTTTTGGCTACCCTGAAAATCAGGGTTATAACGAAAGTGCTGGTACAGCCTTAATTATCGCAACACATCACATGCCACAATAGCATATGAGAAGTGCTGGGGACCATAAATCACTCTGACAGTGTTAATTGTGGCACAGGAGTAATACGTGTGGTTTGACTCCAGAGGAAAACCGTGTGTTTGTGATAATAACAGATATCCCAGATTCACTTTAAACAGTGTTTATAGTATGAATGTATAGGACTTTTCCTGAAGTTAACTGGCTTTAAGATATTTGTGTTTTAATGGTCCATTTTGTCAGGTATGATCTCACTACCAATACTGTCTGATAACTAAAATATCATACACAGGAACTGTTAACTAGAAGAGTAGAACTTGGTTTTTCTTATTAGTACTGTGAAAGAAGCCTTTAGAGAAAACATTTGTGGCTTTGATTTTGTTGGTTGATAGCTGTGATTGTAGAGTCGTTATTTAAGAATAAAACCTGTTGGGTATGTCTGGGTGGAGTTTTTTTGCACTTGGTTTCACCTGCTTTGCACAATTTCTTTTTCAGTGGGTATGTCACAACTACCAAAGGGTAAAACTGTGGCGTTTTCAATGAAAGTGTAATTTCCTTGTAAGTGTGCTTTCTTCAGCTGACTTGACATAAGATGTCACTTTCTCTTTTTGTCCAAGTTGGGTGATGTTGAATAGTGACCATAAGCAAACCTTCAGTTCCTCACAGTTTTACTTTAACCTGAGATTGTGGTACACACTGTAAAATACACTTTGTGGTCTGTTTTTAGAACTGTATTTATAATGTCTAAATCCCACCTGTTTGCCTATCAACTAGATATCAGACAAATATTGATTGTTCAATTTTAAATTTGTTTAGAAGACTGTTGACACCAGCTCTTTGAGAATTCATGTTATACATTTATTTCAGATACCGCTAAAGGAGATGTAACAGAAACTGAAATCTATCAGATGACAGTATCCATATTGTAGAAATGTCTAGGTTTACTAAACTCCTTAGGGAGGTTGTGACTGTGTAAGTATAGGACAGTCGTGCCATTTATGGCCGACACTGCTACAGCTTCACCTTAAGAATGTTCTTGTGAAAGTGGAAATGAAATGAACAATAACCTATACTTTGTGTTTTCAAAGTAATTATAGCAATATCTTTTGAATGTAGTTTGGAGTAGAGCACATGATCATGCCATAAACTCTGAAGATATAATAAGTATTACTGTTGTTATCTGATATTTCAGGATAGCGAATTTGACGTGAACTTAGTCTTACAGCCTGTTACTTAATGACCTCTACAAGGAAACTGACATTTTGTACAATTGAAGTTGATTAGTCTTATTTCAAAGCATTGTTTGTTCTTTGTAATAAAGTGGTTGTCCTATCAAATGCATTGTAAACACCGTGTGGGGCTGTTTTTTCAAAGGTGTACGTGTACAAACTTCAAATTTCTGATACAGAGAAGAGAATGAGTGTGTTTGTCAAGGCAGGGAAGAGGATTTAATGATAATGTAATACTATCCCTGTTTCAGGTTACTTCTTGGTTACCTTGTGAGCTTTTTCCTTAGTGGAGGCTCTCCACTTTCCTTGCCCCACCTTCTCCTACAGTTGCTGTGCCCTCACCATTACTCTTGCCCTTCCTTGCCTTTGTGCCATGCAGCTTGCAGGCTGTGGTCTCTGAAGTGAAATTTTGAAATTACTTCCCCTGCCTATACACTAGCCATGCTGTTCAAAATGAGTGACAAAGAGTTTGGTATTGCTTTGTTACAGTTTGTTAAAAACATGTGTCAGTACTTAGTGTGCTCAGAAGGCTTCTGGTAAGGACATGAATTGCATTCGTGTCCAGCTCTGCTCAAAATGACATCATCTTGGGCAAGCTGGTAAACTTTTATGGCAGTTGACTATGGGGAACTACTGAGGAAACAAGCAATACATGTGGCCAGAAGCAGGGGAGCAGAGACAAGCAAGTGAACTGGAAGGTCTGGATTGTTTCTAGACCTCCTTAAGAGACTTCATACAAGAAACTGCTAAAAGCTGTCTGCTCCAGATTTATTCCTTCCTTGTGTTCCTAGCTATTTTAATAACTGTTATTATTTTGTTATTTGTGATTCCTTGCATTAGTGGAAAACAAATGGGAAAACCTAAACAATCAGTGAAGAATTCCCTCATGCTGTTTTCTTTCTGTTAATAAGATTCTCAGAGTAGGAGTTATTTTCTCTTGAAGGCAAATTTGAATTTGCTGTATGAATTTATCTTAAAAACAACTCAGGCTTGTTTTTCTTTATGGCATTAGCTGGTCCTCTGTGTATTTTTATATTTTCTAATGAGCTAAACATCAGGGGTTTTATTCTGTGGCTTCCAGTTCTGACACTGAAGCATTCCAGATTCCCAGGGCAGGGGTGGAGCACACTGTGTGCAGTGGGCGTGTTCCTCCTCCTGTTAGTAGCTGTGAAATCTTCGTTTTGGTGTGTTTTGCACTGATCTGGAAGTGGAGATCTCCTTTATTTATCCAGAAGTTAGCTGAAAGGTATCTGGACGATGAGCTTAAAATGAATTCTCTTGTTCCATGAATGAGTCTGTAGGATACTGCATCTCCAGCACTGCCCCCAGAGAGGGGAAACCCCCAGGGCGTGCTGGGAGGCAGGTGGGGGTAGGTTGGGCATCCAGCCAGATCGTAGAATTTGTGTCTTGCACCTGCAGCCCCCTGGAGGGAGGATGGCAGGAAGGCCCAAGAGATCTCTGTAAGCTTGCGGGCCCGTTTGTCTAACTCCATCCTTATGTGCCTAAAGGTATCTGGTAAAAATCTGGCATCTATAAAGCTGCTAAATGAAGCCTTGGTCTGTTCCCTAAATCCTTCAAAAGCCTGAAGCATTTTACAGTACTTGTTGGACTTACAGCCCTGACAGTAACAACAAAAATGTCTACCAAATTGGGGCTGGGCATAGTTTGCTGTCATTGTTTTTTTTCAAGGGGGTTCTTGCCTCTCACAAGCATCTGCTTTTAATATATGACATAATTGCTAAGTTGGTACAGCAGCTCCTTAAAATGAAAACTAAGGCTTGGATGTGGTATCTTCAAAGGGAAAAAGAGACGAAGCATTTCAGTGTGTCCTGGTGTTCAGAGAGTTATTTCTGTATCTGTTTAAATTACGAAATATTGTTATCCACACATGGAAGTTATCAATATAGTTATTTCCAAGTGATTCTTAAAAGAGGCACACTGGGTATAACACCATTTTAGAAGGTTCAAAAGCAATATTTCCTTAGTTTTGATTGCATCCTCTTTTTTTGTCTGCATTCACTAATTTAAATGTTTATTGTCTAGGGCTCTTAACTGCCTTTTAGAGTAACCATCACTCTCTTACGTAGAGTGCTGATAGTTCTCCTTTAACAAAAAATTATTTAGTACAAGTAGCACCTTGCAACTTTGAGCAGTATTAAGAAATATCCCAAATTTTCCTTTTTAGTAGCAGCTTTGCAATTATTTCTTCA